AAAAAAAAAAAGGTGTTCACGACTCTGCTGTGAGCTCCTGGGGTGCTTTTTGGCAAGTCACTTGATCTTCCTTCACGGTTTTCATCAGGACAGACTAAATACACACACTAATTACTCAATGACTGGACCTTTGTGAAAGAGTTTTGTTACGTATTGCCTGTATAACACAATGGTTACTAACACACACACAGAATCAACAACAACAAAGTTATGGGAAACCTATTCTCTCTGCTTTCCATTTCCTTGCTGGCAAGAGCAGTGGGTATAAGTGGCTGCAAGGAGTTGAGTGCTGAGCTTGGTGGCTGTGGCTGCACAAGCACAGTCCTCGGTGGCCCTAGAGGGCCTCCATGTGCAGGTGACTCTCGAGGTTGTCATATGCCTCTCTTCCAGGTGAGGCGTATGAGGTTTCTGAGAGAGAGATCATATCATTTTCTGGATTGTATGCTCTTTACTGTTTGGTGGGCTGCTCCAAGGCATTACCACGTGATGGGTGTAGCGTGTCAGCTGGTGGATATCCTGGTATGACTTTAGTTCTGCTGTTTCTGCCATTTATGGCAAAGGGCAGAGCTGCATTTTTTCATAACAACCGTCTGGCAGTGCTTTATTTAACAGAGCTTAGCATCACTAACAACTACTTGGCAACATATCAAAGGTCAAACTGTGGGCATTTGGCATCAGCCTAATTATTCAAGTTATGACAATTGGATAGGCCAAGATCCTTCCCTGCACGTTTAATGTTGATTACCATGAAAATGCTACAATAAAAGCACCAAGATAAATAGGCTTCGGACAGCACTAACTCAGCCTGTGCAACCCTAAGTCAGTGTATGGCAACCTTGCTGAGCTGAACCAAGTGCATGATTCTGCAGAGGCTCAAAAGGTTTTTTGTGGTAATGTTGCTGATCTGTGTGGAGTCCAGTGCAATGCTTGTCACATACATCTCCGAACTTTCCTCAGTTTTTGTCTTGAGTTATCAGAATTAACATCTCCAGTTTTATCACTGTTGGATTATTTCACTTAGATCTGCTCAGAATTTCCCAAGATCACCAACAATAGAACTTCAACTTAATTTTTGCAAAGGCGACTGAGAACCACAGAGGTGTGAAAGAGACTGAAAAGTTTATACAGAATAAACATTTGTGAGACGGAGACTGGTTTTGAATTACTGTTTTATTTGCACAATTAAGACAGGTTTTAAGAATTTGGCTGCAAAAATGTGGTAAGGGGCAAGGGTGACTAGTGGTACCTACTTAATATGCCTACTACTCTAGGGACTAAGTTTAAACCAAAGGGAGAGTGGATTCGTGATTCAGTGTTAGTTATTGTTTATTATATGGAAATAATTCTTCATTTTTAGAATGTGTAGATGAAAAAAGAATATCCCCTCTGTAAATTGTGAAAGTCAAGGCTAGAAGAGTAAGCTAATCCATTTCCAGTTTTGTTCAGAGTAAGGAAAATTAGGTTTCTTTGTTTTTCTTTCCTTTCTGAGCACCTTTCACCACATGAAGCAGGACAGGACAAAGGCAGATTCCTGTGCTTTCAATAGGTGTAGCTGGCAGTGAAAAGTGACTGCGTGGCAGCTGCATCAGTCTTCCCAGACACAACATACTGTCCTCTGCAAGCTAAACTATTAATCTGAAAAAGAAACAAAAAAGGAGGAGATCAGATTAGCTTGGAGTAAGAAAGACAACTGTAGAAAGACACTAGCAGTGAACAAAGTGCAAAATTGTGGAAAAAGGAGTCAGCTGCTGAATTCACTTATTATATTTATAAGCTAGCTTAGTTTTGTGACACTGTTTGATGGTCGCTAGCTGGTTGACAGTAAGGGGAGCATTTTTCTTCAGACAAACACTCCGCGGATGTAAGTCTACATTACAAAAGAAAATTATCCAGCTGTGACTAGCAACAACCTCTGCTGTTTCTTGCATTAGATTTCTGTCACGCCAACTAGAATAATATCCTTAGTGTACAGGAAGCACCAAAAAGGGCAGGAATAAGAGGAACATTAGGAACGTGACAATATGTCTCCAAAATAACACAGAGACGTATGACTCCTCTCTGACACAGAAAGGAGGGAGCAGCTCCTCTTGGCATCAAGGGGAAGGCCTCGTACCTGCGCCCGCTTACGGAAAGCCTCCTGTGCAGCCTTCTTGTTCTCTGATTTGCCCAGCCATGCTGCCAGGGCAGAGGCCTGCAGAGCCCTTCCGTAGGAAAAGGTCAGTTTCCAAGGTTTAGGCAGAGAGGACTGATTCATAGCATTCAGGTTGAGAGAAGCCTCCTCTTCACTTTGACCTCCAGACAGGAAGCAGATTCCTGAAAGAAAGAGACCTCAGGACTTAGAAACTGGGGCGCTCCAGCTGCCAAGCCACCATCTCTGACCTCTGTGTGCCAGAGAAATGAGCATGTCAGATGGAGGAGCAAGGCCAGTAGGAGTGACAGTGTGAAGGGATATATGGGAACAAATCAAGAATCACCAGGAACAGCAGCAGGAACAGTGCGGAGGAGAGTAGTGACGGTTGCTGCAGCTACATCCTGAGGGGTGTATTTTTTGGTGCAGGCATGCCCGGCTGTCACCATGTTGGGTTTCAGCAATGTCCCCTCCAGGTAGACATGATGATCGTTCAAGGCCTTGTAGACAGCAGCCAGAACCTGGGGGAGCGAATAGGAGGATTGAATACACATCTGTGCTCAATGCTTTACCTCAGCCTACTGTGGAGAGACAGCTCATTCCTTGGAAGTGGGAGAAGATCAAACTAAATTTCTTGAAATTTGTCACAGGGGTTGCAGCCCTGGAGGCACCGATGCTTTTGTGATGACTAGGACATTTTCCTTTTTTATTGGATTTGTCCTTACAAACTGACATACTGAACAAGGAATAAATGCCTTTATAACCAATGTATCCTTTTCAGCTCAGGAATGCTTATATTGACAGTTTGACTGGAAATCCAAAAACAGGGATTCTGCTCTCACATTTGCTACTAGCTAATTATTTGACTATGAGTGACCCATTTCTGTGATACAGTTATGAAGGACCTTTTTGGTCAAAACTCATTGAAATCTGTCAATGCAAACCCTGCATAAGATTAACTACTGATTTGTGAGGGTGCAGAGATCAAGAATCTTACCTTTTCTGTGACATACTGGCAGCGCTGGAGATCGTGGTCTCCATCAGGTAAGACTTCTGGCTCCACAATGGGCACCAAGCCATTCTAAGGAAGGAAAAACAAGGAAGTTTTTGGAGGTGGGAAAGAAAAACTGTCCTGGCTGTCTGTATTGTCTCTGGTGACATGCCTTCTTGCTGCACTGCCCTTTCTCCACATTTCCCAAGACCCTCACAGAGATCCACTGTTCACAATACCTAGTCTATTATCAGAGGGAACAGTGAAAAAGGGACGAAAACATCTCAAGGAAGGCTGCAGAAGGGTAGATACCTGCTGGCAGATGCTGGCATAGCGTGCCAGTGTGTTGGCATTCTCTTGGATGGCAAGTTGAGAGGGTGTTGTGCTGGTGATCTTCAACACTGCACGCCACTTGCCAAAGTCAACACCATCTTTCTTGTACTGGGCGCAGCGCTCAGACAGTCCATCCAGTCCTGCATGTGAAAGAACAGAGCTTCAGTGAGAACAGCTCTTTCAGAAATAACTCTGAAAAGTACCATGACACCAGCCAAGGCTGCAACTCCTGTTGAGTCACCCCATGACTTTCACTAGTCATAGCTAAGGCTTCTTAGATCTCTCCTTACCTTCGATGGTGGTTTCTCCATTTGTTCCTGCTAGGGGCGATGTGCCTTTATCCAGCTGAAGAGACAGCAGAAACAGAAAGAGTTACAGAGTGAGGGAGGTCAGCCTGAGCCTTGCACCCCAGAGCTAGTCTACCTTTGCAGATTAACTGTGAGTAAAGTATAGGGCTGAACAGACTGCTAGTGGAAGGAAGGGAAGGGCTCCAGTAAAGGGGAGGAACAGGAGAGAATTGGGTCATGGGGGCAACATGCAGGTGGCTGTGGGGAGTAGATCAACAGCTCTGTCAGCTGCAGAAAGGATTTAATTAGGTTATTGCATGGAAGGATGTAACTGCAGTGAATGGTAAATATATGGGTGCTGTTGGACAAAAGGGTGCTGCATCGGTTGCAAATGTTTCACTGTTTAGTTGTACAAAAGCAATGCAGAGAATGGTAGCAGAGACATTCTAGGGATTTCAAAACCGAAAAAAAACAAACAAAAGTTGTTGTTGGGAGTGAGTATAGACCCCACACATGTACAGATACTCACTTTTATTCCCACCACAATGCCTTTTTCTTTGATGATAGCTGGAAACGGTTTTCCACTGCTGTCTTTCTGATAGAGAGTCTCGTGGAAAAGTATCACTCCCCCAATGCTCTGGTTGATGGAAGTATCAGAAGAGAAGAGTATCTCTCGAAAAGCACGGCGATTCTCCTCTGTGTTCTCCACGTTGATCCTCTGCAGCCTGTTCCCCATGGTACCTAGAAAGGTGGCCAAAGGCCAGACAGAAATGTGTTAGGCCTTGCTGCCCTGGTCCAAGAATACAGTAATTAGAAAGAACTGGGGCTTCAGTGCAGCAGCACATAATTTGTCAGCATTTGCAGCCCTGTTGGCTGAGATGTGCCTGCTCAATCAATGGACCTTAACTTTTTTTTTTTTTTTTTTACTCTACTGAATTCAAAGATGAAGCAAAATGGGGACAAAAGTTTTGGTATTGCTAATTGATTGCTATCCAGAACTCACCCACTGATTCATCTGCAGCTAGGATCCCTTTTCCTGAAGCCACAATCCGCTGAGCAATGTCTGAAAGAGCTTTCTTCTGCTCTGGAGACAGCGCTGGGAACTGGTGAGTCATGGTGACTTATCTGTGGGAGACAATTACAGTTACAAGCTGAAGGGAGACTGTATGCACGAACCACGAGCCTGAGGCACCAGGCATCAGTATTCTTATTGGAGGCCTCTCGGTGCTTGTCCAGTCCACATTGTCATGACACATGCCCAGAAATCCAGTGTGAGTTCTTGGTTTGGTATGTCTGGCAAAACTAGAAGAGGGAAATGCAGGAGCCACATCCCAACACATCCTTCTACTGCAGAAGTGGGAAAGACTGCGTTTCGCATGGATTTGCTCAGAGACTAAAGGAAGGTCAGTGAGTCAAAAAAAAAAAAAAGTGCCAAACTAACAAGTATGCTAATTGTGGGTACTGCAAACTTCTTTGCAAAGCACTTCGGACCTGTTGGTCCTAATCAGAAGACTGCCAATTATCACATAGCTTGCTTTTGCACTCTTCCTAACGGTGCTCCTTCTCCCATTCCCTGCCCTGTGTTGGCAGTACTTGCTGCTTTGTCTGCTTGCCTTTTCGCCTCTGCTGTCCTGCCTTGCTCTGTAGTTCTCTCCTCCCACATGGCTGTTCTCAGAACTGTACCATGTTGCTTGCTCTGGACAAGATGTGGGAGTTGAGAAGGATTTACCATCCATTTCTGTCTTCTCACCTCTGGCAGAGGTTTACCAGCTGCACATATCCTGCACCTGAAATCCAGGTTCTGTCTTGTTTTGACAAAATGTTTGGTATTATTAAAGTTCTCATTAAATTGGATTAAAATATAATCTATCATCTGAATAGTCCACAGTAATTCACTACAGGTAAGCACCTGTGAGTTTGAGCCGTGAAGGCTCTCTGTTGTCTGTTCATCATCTTCTATACCTAGAGGACCACCAGTGAAAGTATCAGCAAGTGGTACATCCATGAGATGAATCATTAAAAACAAGACCAAATATCTCCACTAACAAGTTTTATTCCAGAGGAACAGGCCTCTGGGTAGCATCTGCACCTTCTGTTTCCCTAATTCAGCCCTACAGGGGCAGGGGACATGTACAAGCATACATGCAGCCAAGCCCTCCATCCTCTCTCCCTGCCCACTGCCACTACATCGCCAGGCTCCCTGTGTAGCCTTCCCCATTGAAGGGCATAGTAGACAGTAACAGGGGTCTGGCTGCTACTAATGGTGTGGTAGATGCCGACATCGGTGGAGTTCTGTGCACCATGCCATGCAAAGTGCTGCCCAAATTTTCTAGCAACAATACTATCACACTGCTCTGACTGCTCTGGTGTCTCTCATTTAAAGTTGAAGGTGTTTGTACTGTTACTGTGCAAGGTTTAAATGGTATTGTCTGTCAGTAGAGGCTGGTCAGTATCCAGATGTTTTGTTTTTATCTTTTTGTGATTTTTTGGGGGCTAGAATTTATCCTATGTGACTTAGCAGCACTGAGTTATTCTAGGTTTAGAAGAATTTCTAGAGAGTGATGAAGAGTCCATTAAATGAAGGGGGTTTCTTCCTCTCCCAAGTGCTGAAGTGCATTGCTGTGGTCTTGCAAAGCAGCTTTTGCTGAACTTTCTGTGGCCAGAGCTTTGGGAAGCATCCTTCTACAGTGGTGGCTGCAACTTCATTACTCCTGGTTTTTATCCTGTTTAGCCCACCTAAAAAAACTTCAACTATGGTTTATGCTACATAGCTATAAAGCAGATCTCTAACCTTCCTCACCACCTGCTTTCTGTGTCTGATATGTCTCCTGCAGAACTCACAGAAAAAGGTAACTGCCTTTTTACTGTGATTACTGTAATAGTTAATGTTGTAAGCACTTCAGCCAAACCTGTAAATTGCTATGCAAAATGATAAGGAACAGCTCTAGTAGTTCACAGTCTCAGTGAAAAGACTGCCAAATTTTTAGAGAATGTGACCTAGTCCAAGGTCGAATTAATGAATCGCTAAACCAGTAAGGGGATTTCAGAGCTGCAGTTTGGAGGTGTGTTACAGCATAAGCAGGTGTATCCAGATAATCTTTAATCCATCTAGCTGAGTTACAAGATCATCAGTCACTCTAGTTACATTATTACGGGTATGCATTCTCTCCAGTAGTGCATTAAACAATGATACTAATGTCTTTTGTATTTTGCATGTTCCTCGTGCTTGCAGAAAGAGAAACAGAGACAGTTATCACCCAAAACCAGCCTGCAAAGCAAATTGCTGAAACATGGAAATACGAGATTTTAGTGGGTAATACTGGTCCAAGTGTGTGCTCAGGGAGACTGAAACAATAAAGTGTAGTTCCACAAGTCAGAGATGAATTGGAAGACAGTAAGTTTGTTCCAGTTTTCATGCAAGTATCCCATAGAATGTGAAGAAGTAGATGGAGACTTGACAAAAGGCTCCCCAAAGCCTGTGATCTGTAAGGCTGTGGTGAGTGGTTCCCAGCTGCTCTGCCGAGCTACAAGGAGCAATAAAACACACAGTGTGTCTAACTGAAATGGTGAATAAATGAGTGCAAAAGAGCACTTGTCAGGGGAGTGATAGCTCAAGGTCCAAGATCTTCAAGGACCCTTTGTTTAGGGTTTTTTACTTTCCTGTGAGTCTCTCATGAGGAATATAATCACTAAGGATCTTCCCTGCTGGATTCTGGAGTGGGTGACCCTGCTGTAAGGTACGGCTCGGGGCATATTGAGGGGGCTGGAGAACACTTACAATTCAGTAACACTTCTTACAGCTGCCTTTTAAAGATTAAGCTCCCAGCACATCCACTGAAACGTTAATGACTCTTACAGAGGCAGTCTCTCTGGATGTGTCACCACACGTGTCCTGAGGAAAAACAGTTGCAGCCAGGCAGGCAGCTCACTTCATTCTTCCATGAATGAAGACTCTTTGCCCTATCCCTCTGCTTTATTTAATTTTTCCACTTTTTCAAGCAGGGAAAAGCTGGAAGGAACTTTGTTCTGAGTAACAGTATCTAGAAGATGTCCCACCAATATTTTCAAGAAGATTTATTTTTATTTACCCATTTTAGGCTGTGGACTAGTGTCCTAAGTATCATAAACTCAAGTCATTTCACATTAATTTGTGTAAGTATAGGACAGCAATTATTCCCTTTTTATTAACCACTCCTGTAATGTATTTTTAAAAAGTGGAAGAACAAACAAAGAAATGGGACTGCACAGAATACGTAACAACAGCTTAATGTCTACTTGGAGTTTTTGTCAGGCTTCAGCAACTTAAACAAATCAAGTTCTTTGTTCAGTCCCCAACCTGTGACCAGCAGGGGACAGGAGTGGGGAGAAAGAGAATGGCACAGTTGTAAAAGTAAATATCATGTTGCTGAAGTCTCAAGTTTTTCTCAGCCACTGTAACAGAGGACTGCAGGGGAAATATCTTCATGGATATCAGCACAAACACTGTGTCCTGTTAATATTAATAGTGAGAACCAAAGGGCAGAGGCAAGTTGTACAGCAGAAGGAACAAACTGTTAAATTACACATCAGATCATCTTGTAAAAATTAATATTCTTCAGCTTCTTTTATTTCCAGACACCTGAAGTGACTGGCATTTTCTAATCTTACAGAAAATCTCACCTGAGTCTTGGTTAGCAGGTGGGAAGGGATCAGATCAGCATCTGTTTTCTCTTGGGTCTCTTCATTGCCTTCTTTTATAAAACTGTTTCCAAATGTGCTGGACCAAACTCTCAAAATATTGTTTGTGTCCAACGCATGTAGCTTTGGCTGCTCAGCTACTGCCCTTAAACACAGCCCTACTGATCCTGAAACACAGCCCTTCAACATCACCCCTGACAGTCAGCAAAACAAAGCACATGTGCATATCACTGTGCTGTGCATGCAGGAGATTCTGCTTCAGGCCAGTGCACGTTACAGGGTTCGCAGAAGCAGAAGTTGCACGTACAGATAAATGCATGGTGTTGACAGGGAGAATGAAATGTGTTCAAAAATTTAGGCTGTGACACTTTGGGCACAGTGTAAACCTGACTGGGTTTGCTCCTCATTCATAGATGTATGAATTCATGGGAGGGTCAGTCCCATGATGTGGTGCACACCTGATACGCTCTGTACAGCCAGCAGATCTATTGGCCTCACTCCCCTGTGCAGCTCTGTTAAAAACCTTTGCCTAAGTATGTTTGGTTCCATGGCCGCTGGGCAAAACAGGGGTACAAATGGTTGGACAGCCCTGGCACCGTCTTGCTGACGGAGCACATTCCTACCTAGCCTGCCGCAGACACCCAGCTGGCAGCAGCAGCTGATATACTCCATTGCAGTGTGACCATTCAGGGCAGCCAGGTCAGGGCGTGAGGGTGCCAGCAGGAACACCGTGAAGTTCAGCCAGAACAGATGCCCAGCCATGTCCTGGGACAGCAGCGATCCCACCAGGGCCACTGAGGCTGGGGAACAGCTCCTGGCAGACTGAGCCCATCAGGCAGTGAGTTGAGCAGGGACCAGCAACAAGGCCCAGCAGCATCCTGTGCAAGCAGGGCTATGGCTGGGGAGCCATGGGCGGACAGGGATTGTCCCCCTCTGCCCAGGACTGGTTATACCATGTCCAACTGCATCTACTTTTGTGCCCCTGTGGTACAGGAAAGGCACCAACAAACTGGAGTGAGTTCAGCAGGTGCCACCAAGAAGGTTGGTGGCTGGAGCACTTGCCCTGAGAGAAGAAGGCCTCAAGGCTGGGACTAGGCCAGCCTCGAGATAGCTTCAGGGGCACCTTGCACCAGCTACTGGCACCTACAGAGGTGATGTGCAGACAAAGCCAGGCTCTTCACAGCAGTGCCTGGCAGGAGGGTGAGACAGCAGGCATAAGCTGAAAGTAGAGAGGTTCAGAATGGATTTTAAGAATTTTCTTCCCTACTGGGACAACCAAGCAGTGGAGCAGGTTGGCAGAGGGGCTGTGCTGTCTTCGTCCTTGGAGGTTGTCAAGACCTGACTGAAATCATGAGCAGACAGGTCTGACTTTTTGTCTTACCCTGCTTTGAGCAGGAGGTTGGGTTACAGACCTCCTAATGTCCCTTTCAGACTGAATTATCCTGAGACTCCACATGGAGTACTTGTTTTTGGAAGCTGAAATGAAAGCGTTTACTTCTGTATGTATGGTGAAGGAGCTGTGAGGGAAGAATGGGATGTTTCTCCCCTCGTGTCTGTGGTGGGAGTGAAGGTTTTAATACAGCAAAATGTTTCACTTCTGGGTGCTAAGAAGTGAGACAAGAGCATGGGACAAAAAGATACTCAGACCTATTTCACCTAGAAAAAACAGCAGATGCTTTTGATTGTCATATTAAATATTAGGAAAACTGAAAAAAAAAAAAAAACAAACAGATTTCACCATTTTGACAGGTCTTTGGGGGCATATATAAAGGCAAATTGCTTGGCAGATTTTTGCTGACTCTTAAGAGGTTGAGAACCTGAGTGAATGTACCCCCAGTTTCCCCTCTCTAGCAACTGAGAAAGGAAGATATGTTTTCAGGGACCTGGCCTCTGCTTTTGGTGTAGAGCACTCCTGGAGAGCTCATGATGGCTAGAGATGAGGTGGCCACAGACACGGATTAGTTGGAAGTAAGCATGGTGATTAGGGTGAAGGTTCTTATCTCTCAGGGCTGGGCTCTTCTTAGAGAAGGTAAAAACTTGCTGTCATACTTGTCTGAGAAAAACTTGCCTGGCAGCAGGGGAGGTTGAGGGAAGTGGAGGTGACATTTTCAGGTAGGCTACCTAGTTTTGGGTGCTAGGCACATGGGATAGTTGAGAAAGCGATGGAGGATCACAGGCTCTGTGATCTAAATTACTTGACAGGCAATTTCCTGAAGCCAGCTGTTCACATCTAGAAAGGTTACAGCCTGCTGCAAGGGCATAAAAATTATATTTCCAAGCCTCTCTTTCCCCATTTATTAGTTTTCTACGTTGCAGACTATATCTTACATACCCTGCTGAAGAATCTTATCAGCACTAATGCTTCAGAAGAACTACACAGTGCACACAGATAATTACACTTTTGCCAGCACTGGCACTTGTCAGGACCAACTGCATTCTCCAGTGATTCTTTCTTCTCCTTGCAAAACAAAAATTTATGTACTCCACAAGCATAAATAAACAGATAAGAAAATGAAGCGGTAGAAAGCAATGCAGGTATGTTACTGCTCTATTCTTGTAGGCTAAGGATTCACTTACTCCATGAGTTTTGAATTACTAAACTAAGTTAGAAACCAGTGTTAGCAGCAAATGGGTCACATTGGCAGATCACTGCAGAATGGCTGCGTGCTTATTCCTTGCAAACTCTTCCTGGAAAATAAAATAAAAATAAAAACAAAAACAACCCTCCCCCCACCCTCTGTAGATAAACACATTGTGTCACAGCTGCTGATTTGCATTACCACCTTTACAAGTTAGAAAGGAAATGGTTGTACTTACTTGCTTGTGGGCAGTGCCTCCGCTGCTCCAAGCTTCTGGTGAGGTGGCTGCAGGCAAAGAGACCCAGTCCTTCCAGTCGCTAACTTTTATAAAACTCTTGACAGGTGTTTTTTTTTTTTTTCTTTTTTCTTTTTTTTCACTCCTTTTTTTCTCCCTCCTCCTCAGGCTGGTTGGGGAATGTCACTGCACAGGATCATTGATTGGCTGCCAGACAACACACACACCACCAATTATTGCACCTATTCGCTCTCCCTGCTTTTCCGCCCACTTCTCCTCCCCCGTATATATAGCACCGTTTATGATGCTGTGAAACTGAGACTTTTCCAATTTTTTTTTTCAAATTATTCCTCTTTCTAAAACATACTGCAAATATTTACAAGATAAACCATGGCAATCGGTTACAGGGATCTGGGATAATGCTTTCAGTTTAGGTTTAGATCTTCTGGAAGCTTATACTCAGGAAACTTCACTGCTTAGGAAGGAAGAGTAGGAAACCAAATGCCGAACCTCTGGGGCAGATCCTTGACTGATCCTTACTATCATTCCTGTAGCTTCATAGGTATTAAACTGATTTTATTGAGTTGAAAATTTAGCACAGCAACATATTTCACTTCCTAATTAGTATACACATTGAGTAAATGCAATCCTATGGTAGCAGAGTTAATGAAATAGCAAGTTCTGATTTGCTTAAATGTGTGTGATTCATATACTGTATGTGTGAGAAAGATGGTTATCAGAAGAAATATGCCCACTTAGAGATGCACAAGTGCAAGACAAATTCTCCATCGAAATCCCATTGAAACACCTTCTTCCCTTGCTACTATGACATGCAGACTTTTCAGTTGCTTAGTGCCGCTTTTCTTTGAAAAATACAAAAGCTCTATATATGGTACATCAGCATTCCATTTTATATCAAATCACACCACGGCTATTCACCAAATCCAAGTACATAGACCTCTTTTTTACTTTTTTTCATGTTGTTTCGTTCATAGCACAGGTGTGTATTCCTGGAGAGAAGTACAACATGAGGACTTTTAGGCAAACATCATACCCTCAGCAAGAGTACACTTTGTGACCTTGGACATTAGTATGTCTTTACCCCGAAGACCCAGTGTTTGCCCGAAGAATGACGTAGTTTCTCCATTTGTTTGGCTCGAGTGGTGACACCTTTAGCCTTTACACGGACCCGGTGAGATGACTGATTTCTCCTCTCACTGAGCAGCACTATCTTCACTGGGTCTCTTCCTCCCTGAGCCCGTCTGTTCTAGAGCTGCATGCCAAGGTCAGTGCCTGCAGGACATCTCAACAGCGAACACACTGCCAGGGTTAGCCCTCCATGACAGTCAGTAGAGAAGCCTCTCAGAAAGCTGAGGGACAGCCTGACTGCTTCTGAGGGCCTTGTGCTCGTAATGTTTTGTTTCCCTTAATTTTCTTCTCCCTCATCCATCATCCCTTTTTGCTGAAGGATGCCACGGCACACGACACGGATAGAAAGCTGTTGCTGCTTTATAGTGTTTGCTTTATATTCCATTTCTCCCACCCTAGCAGAAAGGGAAACCCAATGGCATATTAAAGTTTCGCCATCACAAACATAGAGGTGTCTTGTATGGATTAAAAGTGTTTTTATGGAAATATATTACCTAAGACCCTTTTGGGACTAAGAAGGTGTTATAATGATCGTCTTCTTCAGGTCCCCAATGAAAATTCAAATATGAATCCTGCCATCTCTGGTTTGGTTAGAAACTGTCATAGGTAGGAAAGTGCTTGGAAGTGTTTCTTTCCCAGTGCTGTCTGTGATATGAACTGGCTGTCTTTTAGAGAAAAGCTAGGGTAAAGTCTTCATGAAAAAAAAAAAAAAAAAAAAAAAAAAAAAAAAAAAAAAAAAAAAAAAAAAAAAAACTTTCTGATATTTGGAAAACACTTTAGGTAATCCCATGCAACTCACTTTGCATTCTTAATTCTTTTAGAACTATATATATGTATATATATTTCCATATGGGAAGTGACCAGTTTGTGGCTTTCCATTTCTTCTGAGAGAAAATCCAGCCCTTGTAGCACTCGGACCACGGGTCCTAGCAGAGATTTTGAGCACTGAGGGGGGAAAGAAGTGAGAGAACATTATGGCTGACTTCTTCCCTTATTTTAGGAACGGGAGCCTTTTCATGTGGAATGAGTGATCACTCTAGGTAGTGTCCCTGTAAGTAAGACTCAGTACTGTTAACATGCAGAACCATGAAACCGTCTGCAGAAATTAATAGTGGGATGACATTTAAAAGACACTTACTGGAAAAGAGTAGGTTCTGTCATCATCAGAGCTCTGTAATCATAGTTTGGGGATACACCAAAGATTAAGTTATAGTGGTATCGTATCTCCATAGATAGTAAGAGGAATAGGCTTGCATGGTGAGGGGAATGCAGCATACTTACATTCAAACCAGAAACTAACCTTCCCCATAAACAATATTATTGCCTGCACTAATGCTTCTACAGCAAAATTAGTGCATTAGCCAAGATGTAAATGTGTTTCATTAAGTTGTTTTTTTGAACTCATAGTATTGCCATCTCTTTCAGCTTTCTAGTCACCTAACTTGTTTGGGATTTCTGTTTGTTTGTTTGCTCTAGCTTTGTTCAGAGTAACATAATGCTGCCATAGGACTGTGGCTAGCAAGATGGATGTCTGCTGGCATGAACACCTATGGTAGAGGTGCCTACAGCTGCTTCGAAAGAGATTGGATTTGTGGCCATGGACAGCAAGACTTTCAAAACTTTCATTGCAATACAGTAAGGCTGGGAGACCAGTGGTGGATGGGGACTGGGAGGAGAACTGAAGCCCCGGTGGGAGATGTCTTCATAATGTCTTCATAAGGACATAGGTTGGGAAGATCTGAGGGCTTCAGGAAAACTGGAGGCAGGAGGCAAAGACAGACATGCAGGTGAGTGTTAAGAGGGTACAGATAACAACTTTGTGACAAGGTGGCTAGGTAATGGACTGAAACAGGTGCCCTTTTCTAGCATCGTTTGTCAGTTGTGTTGTCAGCCTCCACGGATGATGTTAAAACACAAGTGTCTAGCATTTCCTTTCAAATGCAGCATAACATAAGTGAATTTTATATTTGAATGGCTTGAAGGTTTTGCTAATGTTGATTTTTCAGTCTGAAATTACCAATGCAAAAGTTTACAGAACTATTCAGTACATTAAAGAATTTTAAAGACCATCAAAATCCATCTTTACAGGTGGCTTGGGTTATTACATGGGTTTTAATTTGTGATTTTGCTTTCTTGAGTTTGACTATGCCCGATATGTTGTCTGCAAGTATTGGATTTTTGTAGCAGAAGGTAATTTAATAGATGTCCTTGTGATATGCCTGTATTATCCTTGCTGTCAAAGGATCTGTCAGTTCGGCATCGATGTTTTAAGTGAAGCATGTTGATAGATGAAGTACTTTAAAGTCCTGGGAAAGACTGGTTTAATGGAAAGCCTGGTTTAAAGACATCAGGTATTAAAAATTAGAATTGCATACAGTTCTTCAGGTTACTAATGTGTTTCTACCAGCATCATTCTGATACTGATTTTGCCCTCATATTAACATGCTTTCAAAATGGAAATAAAAAGTACATGTGAAGAGAGAAGAAAGACAAATTTTAGTACCCCTGAGAAAGACACAGAAGAAAGAAATGGATGAAGCAATTTCAGAGATTACATAATTGACCGTCAAGTGAAAAATCAAAAACATAACAAAGTTAAAGCTTTCCTCTGCACTTCAATAAATTACGTGGTATTAATCTTATCAAAACTTGTGTGCATGATCAGGCCTGTGAAAAGATTTGAAATGAGATGGAAAAAACCAACGGGTAGAAAAAAGTTGGAAGAATGTCTGAGCATGATATTCATCCACATGAAAAACACCTGCCTCTGTGCGCCCCAAGTGAGTGCTGCCTGCGTGATGGGGTTAAAGTCTAATCAGGACAGACTTGGGCAGAGTGGATTCTGCCTCCTCTTCACCTCTCTGCACCGTGCTGGATGTTTCCTGTTTTCTGTACTCTGCAGTCTTGCTTAACTGTCTCAAAGTCCAGCTTGTTCATCCCTATCTAATCAGAGGTATTGTTTATTAAGTGGTTTGTTTTCCTCATTCACCTCTCCTCCTAACCCCCGATGCAGAGAGCCTGGCCTTTAGCCCCGCTGAGAGAAACCACCTGTATTTCTAGCTCTGCAGTATTCAGCCGTGTCTGCAGACACGTGTGCATGGGTGCTGGGCAGGACTGGCGTGAACCCACATGTGCACTGAGAAGATTGCACAGGGAGGGTCTGCTCGCTCTTTGGTCTTCTGGCTTAAAACCGGGCTGCAGCAAACACCATGACTCGGAGTGAAATACAGGCAAGCACGTATGGTGATCATTATCAAAACACAAATGTTTGTAACGATTCCAGTGCTGCTGACAGCAAAGGAGGATACAACTTCAAATCAGGCTGTCAGCGCTGACATTTCTGGACTGTGCAAAATAGCTGTTGCAGGTCTTCTTCCACTTGTAAAGCACAGGATGTGAAGAAAAATGTAGTAATGACACTGGTCTCTGTGCCTTTCTGCTGACATTTTGTTTTTTAAAAGAAAGTAGGTAAATAACTGGCTGCTAGAGTGGGACACTTACCTGTTTATTAACAGTTCATCTAAGTGGCACATAGTCCCCAAAAAGCACACTTAAATGTGCTGCTTGATCATGTTGATACAAATTTTGCAAAACACAGCAAGTACACCAGATGTCTGAAGTGGACTTATATGCTGAAAAGCCCATTAGAATTAACTGTGGTTTCTACAGTGCAGGAGGCACATTGCGCACCATGACTGAAATTAAACGAGAAAATGGGCCCTGAAAAATGCATAGCTGGCCAGAGGCTCAGTAACAGTGCAAGAAAATACGACACTATTTTTCTTCATCCGCACTTAAAAATCATGAGTAGCTACACAGCTGGGAATGTGGCTTTCATAGCTTTCCCTGCAGGACAAAGCCTTGGAAATGGACCTTCCTGTCTCTTTGCCTGGAGATGCACAAATAAACTGACTGGTGGGGAGAACTGAAAGCATGAGCTGTCAGGACAGGAGGCGGTTTGGGGAAATGGAGAGACACATGAAGCAAAGAAGCACAGACAACAGAGTGCCTAACTCCATATGCAGTTTTGGCAGATGTATGTCATACTGAAAATTATTCAGAACCATATGCTGCACCCTAGCATCTGCTGAATTTGGATACAACATCTATAAAGCTGGTGTGGAAATACATGAAAAGAAATTCAACTGCTCAGGAGAAACTGCCAGTGCATTTGTAACTACAGTTGCTCCCACACAAAATTCCCTTTTTTATTTTGTGAAATATGTAGCCTTACTATACAAAATTATACCAAAAGTTAAATACCAACACTTCAAGTTTGGTTTTATCTCAGGTCCTTAGATTTTATTTCAGATTCACCCAGTACTTGATTGGAGAAGGGCATGAGCAACCTGGTGTAGATCAAGATCTCTTGAGTAGGGAGTTGGATCAGAGACCTTCAGAGGTCCTTTTCAACCTGAATTATCCTAGGATTCAGGGACAAGTTATTCATGTCTGTGCATATGCATGAAGTGGTCAAACAGAGAAGTATCTTTCTTCCATCAAATATAGTAAGAAAGGAGATGGACCTGCCAGTCAGGAAAACCAACAATGACATAGAGAAAGAAGAGACAATGGAGTTTTAAGAGAAACATTGTTTATTTTGTAGAAAGTTTGCTTGCAAATATCTTTAGAAAAAAACCCTAGATTTTAAACAAAAACACCCTGCATCCAGATATACTGTTCTTGAAATATCCAGTCTGGCTATTCACAATTCCTCACAACTGAGAGGAAGTATTTTTCCTTCTCTCTTCAATTTAGTGCCTTCTCAGTAACATTTTGATATCTGTTATAGTTAGAAAATCTGCTTGTGCTTCTAGTGTAAGAAAGACCTACCAATTTATGCTTTATGTTCTGCCTGGAATCATGCTTATGTTGGATATGCTTTGGAAACAGAGGTAGTTTTTTTGTTTAATTGAATAATTTTCCCTGCGTTTTGAGTACTGCTGTCTGTCCTGTCAAGCAAGAATCCTCTTGTGCAAACAATAGCTGCTGCATTGAAAAATAGTCTCAGAATTGTCAGCCTGATTTTTTTTTGAATGTAAGAACAATCTCAAGGCTGTGTTTCAAGGAGTTTATGCTAGCCATGAACCCTTGAACTTAACATAGCGTGAGATATGGTAGCTCAGCTCCACTCTCTTAATGCTAAAGAGAGGTAAAAGATTTGTGTGTTTGAAACTGCATGTGTAGCCAAAATTGAATTTGTAGCCCAAACCATGGAACAAAACCACATTAATAACTAACCACCCATTTTTGTTCCAAGGGCAAAGGATAATTCTCTGGCTTGTCATTTTTAATAAAACGTGTAGCAAAGAAAACATTAACAAAAAAACTATATATACACTTTGCAGAGCTCAGAAGCAGCAGAGAGCATGTTTGTCCAAGCTGTCACCATATCATGGTGGGCACTAAGTACCTGAATGACTCGGAAGAAGCTCCCATCTGGCTCAGTGAGAAGACCCACCTCTGTTTTAAAGGTGAATTGAGTACTTAAGGTAATAACTTCAGAAAGACCAGAAAAGTCTGTTAGCCCATTCCTTGCAGAAGGGGTCTCTTTCCTGATGATAGGCTTATCAGGAACTCTCTCATTGGCAAGGTAAAGCTGTAGCCCCTCTAAATGTTGTTTGCAAATGTTTTTCCTAGCCAACTTCCCATGGCTCTTTTGCCCTGAAAATTGTTTCCTAATTTAGAAGGGATTCCTCAAGTTCATGTTCTCAATTTTCAGATTTGAGGCTCGGTGAAGTTATTGACTTCTGGAGGACAGATTATGTATTACTGGAAAAAAAAAATAAAAAAATAATAACATGAAGACAAACAGATTAATCATTTCCCACATCAAAACATTTATTAACTCCATATAGTCACTTGGTTTCTGTTCTAATGTTCCTTTCTTCCTTTTCCTTCCCTTCTTTTTCCTTTCCCTATCCCACTTACTGTACCTTACTGTGAGATTTTCATTGTGATAACAAGTGGGCCCTCACAAAAAAAACAGGGCATTGTTCTGGATTTGTACAGTACAAAGATAAAAAAAGAGTGAAGACAAAGCACAGCACACTGAAACATTCACAGCTGAAGGAGCATAAGCAAACAACTTGTATTTGCAGGTGCAGGCACTTAGTGGAATAAATAGACAGTGACACTCAAATCCTGCCATCAAATCCTGCCATGTTATCGAGAAGCCTGAGAACAGGTTTGCCCACCTGCCGCTGGTGGTTCTGTGTGACCGCTTTGATATCTTTGGGGTTTTCAGTGCGTAAAGATTAATGGCTTAGTTCTGCCTGTGCAATTTTTCCTTCGCCTTCTGACAGAAGAAATGTTTTGCCATTGGAATGACATGAAATCCACAAGCAACCCTTACTCCCGTCTGATTTCCAAAGATGTCATCAAAGTGTCCCAGCTGATCTACTGAGACAGCAAAGTTCACGTGCCTGAGCACGCACTGCTCAGGGCGGTGAGGCCGTTCCTCACTGGCTAGCTTGCATTATGCACGTGTTTTGTGTGCTCAGCACCCGTCGTGGACTGACGGCTGGAGGTCTGCAAATATTTTCTTTAGTTTCATCTTTCAGGAGCTGTATGCCTTTCCAACCTTCAACGAGACTTGTTAAAAGCTAAAGGCTTAACTCACCCAAGAGACACTGGGGGAAGTAAAATTCAAAGTAGAGCTCTTCCTTCACCAAAAATAAAGAAACAAACAATACTTAACACAAATAATCCCATCAAAACTCCGTGAAAATATTGTACCTCCTTCTGAATCTAGGAAGATGGTTTCAAATATAGTTCAACTGAACTCCACCAGTAAGTGAATTTGATTCAAAGCTCACTGAAGTCCAGGTGTGTTATTTTCAGACAGAAACATTAAAGTGACAGTTTTGATCTTTTATGAGATTTCTGCCACCCCCACAGTTTTATATTTAACTGTGCTCACAGCTGGGGTACAAAATACCCATCCTGAATGCCCAACAATCACAGTAAGTTAGTGGGTTGGTGTCAGAGTGGCACCCTGATCCATTGTGGTACTGTTGCTTGGTTTTAGGAGCAGCCAGCTTTGCTGCTTATGGACATTTTGTTTGTTGGCAGGAACAGTGAACGAACGATTTGAGCAGAGCTGGGAATTATAGCTCCAAAATGAAATAAAGGATCCTGCACCGTGGCAGCTGATGTAATCTCCCCTTTGACTTTGTGCTGATAGGAAGTCAAGGTAAATTCATGTTGAATGTCTAAGTCCAATCAGCAACTGATAAGGCCTCTTTTAATGACCTGGATCCACTACAGCTAGCGGTGATACCAAGCAACATGTCAGTCACCCTGTATTATTTATAACATCTGGAAATGTAACCATGAGAGTGTGCATTTGTGACTAATGGCTATCATTACGTTTTCCTATTCCTACCGTCAGAGTTGACCTTTAACAAAGAAGCAGAGACTTAAACTTTCAGGAGCCTCTGTTCCAAGAAAAAGGAGTAGGAATGGTGGAGGTACGGACAGAATCTGTAGGGTAAGACAGTAAGAAATAGAGGCTTAGTAAAACTTCTGGAATCTACGTGAAATTTCAGGGAAAGTTCTCATTATAACCACACTACCTCTGAAAGGTCTGCTCAAAAACCCAGCTTTGAAGCAGAAAGGTCACACGTCAGTCCTTAGTGAGGATGGACAAATAAAGGCTCTTCCTCCTCACCAGGTTGAATTTGAAACATTCACTTTGTCCAACATTGCTGCTGCCCTAAGTTGAAGATTTCTGTCACCAGTGGAGAGTATGCAGTATAGTTGTTTATACTGTTGTGAGAGCTTTTTGCTAAGAATGATGGAGAGCAGATAATCCACACCCTCAGCTGAAAGCCTCTACTTCCTTCCCCAAGGTGTACGGTGATTAGTTCAAATTATATATTAAATAAGGTCCCCGTGTACATGATTTTTTTTTTTTTTTTTTTGTGCAATAGAGGTGTTCTTTGGCCACTTGGAGACACTTGATGTTTGTCGTGAGTGGCACAGCATCTGAGCTTGCACAGCACCTCTCAGCCCAGAGGCAAGGCTCTCAGGGCTTTGTGTCACAACAGGCATGAACCCATCACAGCAGTTTGGGGTTGTCATTTAGCCGAAGGCTGGAATACATTCCCACGTGCCGGACCAGGTTGGGTTCCACCACGTAGGCATTCTCCCCCTTCGTGCGCAGCAGCGAGTAGAGGGCGATGTCCTTCGCAAAACCCTGTCGGCAGTGCAGCCCCTTCAGGTAACCTAAGGCACGTTGGGCAGAAGGAGCAGAGAAGAGCATGGCAGGCGTGCAGCACTCAGTGACGGGCACGACGTTATACAGCGTGGGGGCCAGCCGACGCAGCTCCAGCAAGTAGTGCCGTCCCACCAGCTCTGACAAAGCCATGCTGTACAAAGCAAAGAACAAGACGATGGGCCAGCTCAGGCCTGGGCGACCAGTTGCCCAGGAGTACCCACAGTTCAGCACAGGCCCCAGAAACATGCCCAGGCCCAGCCACTCGAGGATTCGCATGGGCTCGGGGTTGACATAGTGCTGAAGCCTCTCAGGATGGTAGAGCTTGAAGTAGAGTGCATCTCTGAGGTACGGTTTGGAGAATCGGGCCAACAAGAGGTGCTGCAAGACTGGGAATATCTCGTCCTCTGGCACAGCGTCATCTTCCACTACCAGGACGTATTCTGGGTTATACGCCAAGAGCGACTGCTCAAGGCAGAAGACGTAGTCCTGCTTCTCCTTCTCAAACTGGTTCAGTGCAGGATCAGGGTCCTCCCCAGTTCTGTCACGACTGACCATTGGAAAGAAGCTGCTCAGCAGCCTGACGTCCTGGTGGCGGCTGGGGTCTGACTCCACGTTACAGAGGAGGACATGGTGGCGCTGGCAGCGTGCACCACATTGCTGGAGGAGGTGGTGGAAGCGGGAGGCCACCTGCAAGACATAGTGGAAATCATTCCTCCTCTGCACAGTGATAATGGTGACCAGCAACAAGGGCCGGAAGGGCTCGCTGGCAGAGGTCTTGGAGATGTTTGGTATCTGCAGCTTCTCAAAGTAATGGAGGGCAGCCTGGCCCTCCTGCTGGTTCTGCTTCAGGAACTCCTGGCTCATGGGATTCAGGTGCCAGCGCCGCAAATAAAAATACGAGTGGAGGAGCCGGTGGCAAATCAAAGGAGCCAGCACACCGAATGTCACTACAGTCAGCGTGAGGAGGTGGACGAAAGGGCTGGACCAGCGGCACCACCTCCCATAGAGCTGCCAGGCATGGTGTAACATCGCTGCTGCAGAAGGGGGGCACTCCTGGTCTATTCATGCCCTCTCTCCTTCACCTCCACTGCCTCTTCTCTGGATTGCAAGACATCACTGCAGCAGTGGCTGCCAAAGTTTTTCTTCCTACAGAGGAAAAAAAAAAGGTGGTTAGTGAAATAGGAACAGTCAGAGTGGGAAGACCACGAGTCAAGAGAATGGAAAGCTGAGGCTAGTCACCAAGTAGGCCAAAAGAAAAGACTGCTGAGGAGTCCTTTGCGCTGGGGGCATCACAAAAATGTTGCAGAAGGCTGAGGAAATATGGGCCAAACTTGGTTACCTGCAATGTGCCCCACAGCCTTTTCAGCACATAGGAGCTCCAGCCTGAGTTAGCTGAGATAGGACTTTGCTGTGTTTGTTACTGTGCTTGAAATGTATAACAAACAGGCAACGGGGATGCAGGAGGTTTGGACAAGGAAATCCTTTTCTGTTAAAGACAGAGAACTTCATGTTAAAAGCAGAGATACCCTTCTTTGGTCACAGTGACACAGTAAAATTTGGGTCGCAGCCAATAACCAAAGCCAGATCTCTGGTATCTCTGCCTAGCACACATTTGAAAGACAAACTTTTACCTCTGTGGAGTGACACATGCTTCCCTTCTGTCGCTCACACCCTTCCAAAAGCGTGCATGTGTTTATACTGTACTCCACAGAGTGTGAAGTTAGATAACAAACATACCAATTCACTTCACTACAGGCATGTGTACACTAGGTGTAATGTGTCTCAGATGTCTCCTCCTGCCTAGACCCTGTGAAATACATGGTAGCAGGATTAACAACTTGCAATTGAGCCATTTACTCATATTTATAACTTAAAACCTTATGCCTTTCATTTGAATCTGCAGCATTTGTATATGTTTATATGCACATATGCGCACACACTTCAAGCAAGCACCCACCTTCACAGAAATGAGATTTTGCCATTTCGGCTTTTCTGTTCTGCTTCCTTGGGCTGCTATGGACAACTAACTGCCAGGCTTACACAAAACTATGGCATTTAGGCTGTTCATATAAATTATCCAGTAATTTCCCTTTTTAATCTGCCGTTTGACTTTCCTTTTTACTTTCCACTCCCTCCCCTTATGAAATGAGTTATTCATGCTCCCCAGCTGACTGACTCCATCCCCCATTCAGTGGAGAGTTTCTCCCATTTTTAACCTTCTGCCTTCATGAAGTTCTAACCATTAAATGGTGCTCCCAGACCAAAATGTTACCCATTTTCCTTCTATCCTGTTTTCTGAAGCATCCTGAGGAATGATGTGTGGATGGATAGAAATCAGTGCCATGACATTTCTACTCTATCTCAGAAAAAAGGGCCACCACATAGAATCACAGAATCATAGAATATCCCGAGTTGGAAGGGACCCATAAGGATCATTGAGTCCAACTCCTGGCACCACAAAGGTCTACCCAAAAATTCAAGCCATATGACTAGGTGCATAGTTCAAATGCTTCTTAAGGAAGGAATGACTCAGAACAGTACGTGGTGTCTGAATCTGGGACTACTTCAGAACTGCTTTCATTACTGAAGTCACAGATTTGGCACGTTCACTATTAAGAGAACTACTTCGTATTGCTCTATGGCAATCTGGTGATCTTATATCAAAGGCCTTTTACAAAGATTAATGGATAATATATGAGATTTACTCTAAATCTTTGTCAGAGACCAGCTCCTTCATACTGTGACACTTTAAATAGTCAATGGATAGATTGTGACATCAGTGTTGTGCTATCTCATGAGTCATGAAAACACAAGATTTCAAAGATTCGTGTAAGTAAAGATACCAAATAAGAAATCTGCACATCAATGCATGGGAAACTACAGTTGTGTTCCCATAGGGTTTGTTTTTTTTTACTTCCTGATTACACAATCCTGTTTCATACACAGTGTATTGTATCGCACCAGTGGACCTTGTAAAGGCCATCACCTTAAAGGTAATGGTTGCATTTCAGCCACCAGATCCAAGCCATCGTGATCCACAGTATGCAAACCTGAAATCCATCAGATGTAAAATCTCACATTTAAATTCACTAATTCATCCAAAACCCAGGGCTGTTCCTGTTCTCTTTTTCTGCTAACCAATAGCAAATGCTAAGGGAACACACAACTACAAGTCCCAACTCACACTGGCACACTTTTAAGCCTCCTCGCGATGTAAGCAGTAATGTTGGCACTGTGACTAAGTCAGGCTCCAAATGTGAAAGTGAGGACCACAGTGGGAAAATAACAAAGGAGATGAAGAAGAGCTAAAAGATAGTTTGGTTCCCAGGTGGTAAAGAAACTGACTTTTCATCTGCCAGCTCTGCTGGCGATCTGCGCTATGGGAGCTGTGAGCCTGCAGTGAGCTCTGTGGGTTCTGGGATATACATTCGTCCATTAATAACCCTCACCCAAGCAGGAGCCCTCTTTTTTTATTATTTTATTATTATTATTTTTATTTTTTTCTCACACAGAAAAAAGGATCTTGCATCCTCACTGCAGCACTGGGAGCAGCTGCCTGGCAGCTGGCTGAGCTCCACAGGCTTCAGCCTCTCCTATGAACCACAGAGCAACTTGCCTGGGGTCCTGCTCCTCCACAGCTGCCCCAGGGGCAGGATCAGTGGCAGCACAGGATGGTGCTGGCCAGGTGCCGGAGGGCTCCCCAAGTCTGCTGCTCCAGCTGGTCGTCCCCCAGCCCTGGGACTCCCCCGGCCCAGCTCCGGGCTCCCGACACAAGGTGAAGCAGCCAGGTACCTTGCTGGGTTGTCCCTATTCACTGGCCTTCCCAACTGAACCTGGCTTTGCTTTGCCTCCACAGCAACAAAATTCATGATCTTGCTAAAGGACTTGCACTGGTTTTGCAACTCAAGGAAAGCAACCATCTAACAGCACTTGTGCCTCTCCTCCAAACTTCCTCTGCCGCCTAGGCTGTTAGCATGCACACCGGCTGCCATGCCAAATGGCAGCTGACCTCAAGAGGAAAAGGGTGCTTTCACTAGGTAGCAGAATGGCCAAGGAGCCTAACGATGGTCAAGATCACATTAAGACAGGCCAAGTACTCTAGTTCATGCAAAAAAAAAATGTGATGAAAGATTTAGAAAAGAAGGGGGACACTGCATTGGCCTCCTTTCCACTTCTTGGCTGTAACACTGGGAACCAGGAGCTCCAGATTGAGAAAACAAACTCTTGCTTTCACAGAGATAACATTTGATCTTACATGCAGGACTTGAGACCAGAGTTTCTCATCAGGCTGTTTTATAACCACTAGGATGGTTCCAGGTTTACCAAAGCTATTCTGTTTTCAGGAAGCTGTCAGTACTGTCACTTCCTTTCTTTTCACCATTTTACAGGGCTTGTTCTTTTTCAAGTGGCATTTCAGACAGCAAAATGAGGTGTGAGATGAAAAGAAAGAAATTGGAATGGGGTTTCACAGTGTTTTAAAAACAAACTGCATGACTCACGAATAGTTACTTCACAGCCATGTGAATGCTTGCAGGGGAAGACATTTTTATACCTGCTCTGTGTAGAACTGAGCCATCACTTAAACATACAGCTGTGGTGATACAAAGCTTTGTTTTTTGTTTTTTGTTTTTTTCTTATTTAGATCCTGATGATGCAGATTCCCTCCAGCAACACCTGATTCAGGTCAAAAATCTACATCCCCATCTTCATTAGCCTCCTAATTACTTGTCTGAATTGTACTGCTCAGGGAAATGCTACCTTTGCATACACTGAGGTAGAGTAGAAAAATGCTCAATTTCCTCTTTGGGACGCAGAATACTGTCATGTGTTCTGGTGATTTAAAAGAGAAAGCTGATTTTCTGCCTACTCCAAACTCCTCTTCAAGGTGTCCTGAGGGCAGGTATTCCTGGAACAAAGCCTCCCACGTGTCTCAGAGCTGAGAAATTCTAGGAGGCTCCTGGATTGCTGAGGCAAGAGAGGGCATCTCTGTCCTCTGCTGCCTCCTCTGTGAGATAAGGCCATAATTACTCCCGCATGATTACGTCTTAAATGATCCTTTGCCTAACTGAAGTTCTGATCATTGTCAATGGAAAAAGCCAGGGCTTTTCTAACATAAGGAGCAGCTGTAAAGAAATCACGCTGTCAGATGCCACGGCGTCCTTGCTGTGTGAAACAGGGACAGTAACGTTGTTCGTGGTTCAAGTCCCCACCTTGGCCACTGTGGTAGTAGGAGCAGTGTCCATACAAAGCTGTAGCTTTGGTTTTTATGTTCTTCCCATGGAGGCATTCCCAGATGAAACCTTTGAGCAAAAAAACGCCTCTACTCCCCAGACTCCCTACACCCTCATGACCAAGACTCTATCAATTGACTTCCTCTGGCAGAGAGACAAGAGCTTTGTCTTGAGGATGGCATTGTTAGTGCATGAGCAAACAGTCCCACTTGAATCTGAGGGAAGCTGATTCAAGCTCTGCAAAGCCATAAAGAGCCACAGAAATTTTCTTCTGCTTCATACATTTATGCTGTCAGCTCACAATGCTGTATGGATACCCGCATCTTCTGAAAAGCAAGGTCCCTACCACCAGCTGATCAGTATTGCTGGACCAGATGGCCAGCTTTTCTCATCTGCAATTCATCATGCAACAGTTCTTTCCCTGTTTTCTGACAGTTTTCAGTAAGTCAGTTGCCAGATAATGTTTCTTCAATGTGTTCAGGCTTGCATTGAAAACAGCAGTGTCAAGTAGAAGCCAAGTGTTTGCAGATCTGACCATTGTATTTAAATACAAAACTGGGAGCTGGGCTCCCTAGAAATTACAATCTAACTTGGCCAGAGCTGTGCTACTAAAAACATGAGCAGAATGCTAATGCAAGGAGCTCAGCAGTTGTTCTTAGTATTTATTGGCAGGTACCAAATATATCTCTTATGTCTTCTATCAAGCACTGCTTAAGGCAGTTGCCATTATGTTGTTTGTAGACAAACGTAGAGCGTGCTAGTGCCAACAGTTGGCCAGAATGGCTAATAGCCAGTAAAAAAAACACAAATTTATAATGAAGCAGCCGTTTGCTGTGGAAGTCATTAAAGGTTCTGCTTGTGTTTCTTCTTTAACACAATGGTTGTCAAATAAGCCAGGCTGTTCCATTAAGCTTTCATCTAAAATGTTCCTTGCTATGGCAAAGAGCATGCTTACTCGTGACTTCTCTGTTCTCTCTGAAAACTTTTTGTTTGTTTGTTTTAATCCATGCAGGAGTTATATGGCATGAGAGGTAGAAATCAAGGACACAGCAGTCTTTTCTGACCTGCCATTCCCCACAGCCTGCCAAAGAACAGTAAAACTTGTTTGGTCCAAAAAGCTGGAATTATTACGTATATAAATTATTATTGAATAATCTATTATTATATTGTATTATTATTATAAATTATTAAATATATATATATACTGATCTACAGGCAGTGGTTTGTAACTCTATGCTGTTGGTAAACCTCAAAAACTCTGGAATTCTGTCTTGAAGGTATGTTTGCTGATCAGCTGGCTAGCTCTTCTCTACTAATTGTAGTTAACTTCACAAGTTGTTCAGAAATCCCTGGAAATCCAGGGACTTCAGTTTAGAAGCAACTGAGCTACAAGACAAGGTACGTGGGTGTGGCAGCTGGAAAACACTTTCTCCATATTCCTTGCATTAAGATAGTAAAACTGTGGAACATCAGTGAACCAGGCTATGAACTGAATGTATTTTAATTAACTGTTTCCCCAGCTCTTCTCTTCCTTCTTAGTTACATTAATTTTCCTTTGCCACGCAAATCTGAAGAGTGCCCATTTTCAACACCTGCTGACTTTCAGCTGGCCACCTTGGTGCTGTGCAAAGTCACTGGAAAGCAATGTATTCCCCGGTTGCTATTAAGCAGCAACATCAGTCAATACTGAGAGCAAGTGGGAGTGAAAAGCAGCCTGGAGAAGTGAGTTCTGCAAAATAATAGCTTCACACAGAGGCTTAAGGCAAGGGGTTTTGTGAGGAACTGTATTTTAGAAGATGGCACCAAACTTTCCTGTGGCTTTAAAATTAATTATGCAATCTATATCCATCTAAATTTACATTTTCTTCTGTGACAGAGGTAAAACAAAATGAAACAAAACAAACAAAAAAAACCCCCACATTGTTAAAGGATTTGATAATCTGCATAAAAACTGTTGCATTTTGAGATCTGCCTGGTGCCCTCCAAAATCTGAGAAATGGCTTTTGGTTTCAGCCCACTTGTGCTTTATCAGAAAATTTACATTCTTACTTGTTAAAAAAGAAATGGTATCAAAGCTGCTGCTAATAACGACACCAGCTATTACCTTTTGCTATCAGTTCTTGGAATCTCAAAGCTAAATATTATTTGAGTCACCAGAGGTGCTACAGGTATTTTTATTTTTAACTCGTTGTATGTCGCAGTCTTTTATTAAAATGAGACGAGGGCCTCTGCACGCAAGATACTGAACACAAATACAACAAGAGGCAATTTCTACCATAGTGGATCCTCAGCCTACACATATAAAAGGCAGGAGGGAATCTGTTTTTACCAGAAATGTAAGAGATCAGTCTGGTTTTGTTGTTGCGCACAAATGGTATTTTATATTTTAATCACGTTGGTAACCCACACAGGTAAACTATCTAAGATAACTATTAAAAAAGCAGCCACTAAATATGGCATTCTGAAGTAACAGCAACTCCTTGCAAATGAAAACAACCTGAACAGATCAGCAAGGAGAATTCTCAGTCCTGGAGAAGTCTGTCCAGAAGGAGCAGGAATGAGATACCCCACCGCAACCACTGGGGAATAGCTCATCCCCCACAGATTTTCTGTGCAATTTCTATGCACAGTTGCGCCCCTGGGGCTTGCTAGGAAACCAGCCACATTTCACAGTGCCTGGAAGAGCCGGTTAGATGGATAGACAGATCCCTGATACCTGGGATTTGGGCAGGGCTGGGGATGTGGGTGTATGGACACAGACGGGGGGGGGGGGGGGGGGGGGGGGGAAAGCAAATGGATGTGGCGGTGGCTGCACCACTCAGAGAACGCTGCAGCTTTGCTGTTCCTCATTTATGACTGCAAAGAATAAAAACCCGGTAATAAGGAAATGTGAGACTACGTTTGCGTGCAAAGGCCTTTGCTGATAAGGCTGTAGGTTTCCTGTTGGGACAGGTCTGTGTAACAATGAAAATGTAAAACTGTACCAGGTGACTACCACGACATTTTGATTCTGACTGGTGTTTGAAAGCAAAACTGTTTAGTCATTCTGATAAACATCACTTCTCTTTTCAGGAAGACACGATCTACTAATGTTAAAAATACTACAGCCTTTTCTTCTGTATTCACTTGACACCGAGGGATTTGGCATTATCCCCCTCCTCTCCCCATGTATAAACCAGACTGCTTTTCCTGAAAGGCACGCTAAGGGTGATGTCCCGGTTCTGGAAAAGCGCTGTTTCTGATCCCCACAGGAAGAAAATGGGCTAAATACAGAAGTTGGAAAACATTCTGTTATATAATTAGCAGTGCTCTTGTTGGGCTGGCCAGAAAGCAGCACATTTCACACGGGCAGCAGGGTAGTTCTGGTTTTTGTGCTTGCTGAACCTGGTGTGTCTTTATGGCAGCCATTGGGTGTACATGAAGCGGTTTTCTCAGCAGCTGCATGAGATCAAGCAAGCCTGTGAACCTGCAGCTCACACCGGTGTGACTTCACGTTTTGCAGCACCGCCGGCTCGGCTGCACATTTCTTCCAAAACCTGTGCTTTTAGGTGCCCATGGCTTCAGCCCTTAAGTTTTCCTAGCTGCCCCCCTTCCCTGTAAGGAGAGCTGCCAGGTAGCAGCACAAGGTCACCCGCAAAGCACTGGGATTACCGCAGTTACCTTACTGGGATGGTCACAACGGAGGGGGCGTTGGATAAGCGGAGCTGAGTCCCCCTCAGCTCCCTGCCCTCAGCACCAAAACGCACCGACGGCATCCCAGCGCGCCCCGTCCAGACCCCCCCCCTCGCCCTAATTTTTGCCCCAAAATAAATTTAATGCCGAGGGCTCCTTTAGCTGACACCCACCACAGGAAGGAAGCTGGCTATTTTTTTTGTTTTTCTTGTTGTTTCCGTAACACGGTGCCGGTTTTTGGTGCCTCCCACCCCCCACTCTTTCCCTGGGGGGGGGGAAGGACACTTTTCAGGGGGTCTCCGGCCACCCCGAGCCCTCCCCGCCGGCCGCGCACCCCCCTGCGCGCTGCCCCCGGGATGCGCGGCACTTGCGCGGGGCGACACCTCCGCGACACCCCCCCCCCACCCGCTCTCCAGCAGCAAAAGGCATCGTGACGAGGACCGACCAATTAATTAATTCATTAATTACCCTGCCCCCGCCTGGGGCAGCCGTCCGGCCCCGCTCCCCGCCGCTCCGCTTGTTGCTCACTTCGCTCCCGCAATTTCTTTCTTTCTTTCTTTTTTTTTTTTATTCCTTCCTGCCTCTTCTCCTCCCTCTCGGGCAAGTGAGGGTGGGATTAAAGGCATCTGAGCCCAAACATGTGACTGCGCCGGCACAGAGATGCTCGGAAAGAGGGGAAGGACGGCAGGGGGGCGAAGCGAAGCGGCGCGGCAAGGCGTGTGAACGGAAAGCCGAAGTGCCGGGGGGGGGGGGAGGGAGCTGCCCCGCGGCGGGGGTCCCCTCCTCCTGCTGCTCTCGCAAGGAGAAGGGAAATAAATGTTACCCTGGCCGCTGCCGGAGCTGCGTCGTCCTCTGCGGCTGCCCAAACCCTGCCCGGAGCCCTGCCCCGGGGAGCCGGGTGCGGAGCTCGGACCCCGCCTCTGCGGCACGGCCGCCGCCCGTGCGGCGCAGCCCCGCTCCCCATCTCGGTTCCTCCTCGTTCTTCGAGCCCCTCGCCCAGGCTTTTGGCAGAGTCAGGCTGCCGGGCTTCGAGGGAGAGAGGAGAAAAAAGGAGAAAAAATAAAATAGAATTAAAAAATGGATGGGAGAGGAGGCAGCACGGCATCGTGCCCCGCTTCTCCTCGCAGTCCCGTTGTGCACAGCCTTTACACTGCCCGTGACGCTGGATATAGCTGCAGACACCTCAGACGTGCCACTGAGGAAGTTTTCTGTCCTTCACTGTAATATTGGCTCCCCAGTTAAGCACAGCTTGCATTTTGCTGGAGCTCAGTCCTCTGGTCAGATGCTTCTAGCGCGATGTACTTTTTTGTTAGTTTTATTTAATTAATCAGCTTATTATCGTTCCCCCTAATGAGCAGTTTGGTTAGGGGTGCCTATGTGCCTCACTTTATATTTGCTGGCAAAAGCTGAAAGGCTTTTTATTGTGCAGACCATGTGGGTGAAGGGGCAAAAAGCCAAAGGTGCAGTAACACTCGTACTACGAGCATTGTAGCATCAGGCTTTGGTTGCTGTAGTGACTTGCTCTGCCAGCAAAATGTGAGGCACTTGCCCAGATGCATGTTAACACATGAAATAGCAAGGAGGGTCAATAGAAGACATTTTTCAGATTATTTGTTTTCCCAAATCCTTCTTTTATCCCCATCTCTTTCTTTGCCTGTGACTCTTCAATGACAGTGATTCATACTTCACCTTCCACTTCAATGTCATCAGGCCAGTTTGCAGTTGGTGCACTGCAAACATGACTGATCCTGGCACAGAACAGAGGCAAAAGGGCACGCGAGAGTAGGGGGGTGAGACAGAGAGTTCTACATCCCTGGGAAGGCCATTAATGTGCTCTTAGCAGGATGAGAATTGCAGAATTTGTGAGAAACAAAAAAATATTTATTCCCTCCTGTGACAGCATGTGTGTGGGAGAGCTATTGAGTGACATCAGCAGAAACACATGTCACATTGCACCCAGCATTACATTTCAGATGGCAGAATGATTTGGCAGTAGCAAATTAACAGGAATGGGCCACAAGGCCTTTTCTTCATGGATAAATGTTTAGGTAATTGTATTTGTGTATGGAGCCTTTCTTTACAGTCTTCTCTGCTGCTAGCTTGCTCAGTTGCCTGCTTTTTGGAAAAATAAAAATAAAAAAATTCACCCTTTAGGCTTATTCCTGTAAAACAGCTCCTGTTAGATCTGAAAGACTGAAGGATAAAAGTCACCACTAATTTTGGGGCAGTAGCATGTTCTAATGAAGTCTGTCATCTCTGACTGCTCATCCTTATCATAGTGCTGTCTGTCCCCTGCTGCCTGCTAGCATAAGGGAGACTGGTCTGGCCGAAAAATAAATAATAAAATCCACCTTTTGTTCTGGTGGATTATTTCTTACCTGTATCTTTTTCTTGTCAGCCCACCCTGCCAAATGACTATGTCAGCATAACAGGGAGGGGCCTGGAGAGCAGAAATGAACCTCTGGGGACGTGAACGCTCCCACAGTAGTAACCTGAATGCAACCTGAAACGTGCACAAGTAGTTACTTCTGAAACCACTCATCTGCTACAGCAACAGGACAGGCCTTCAAGTTTTAATTGGCAAAAAGGCCTGCAGTGAGAATTGTCTCACTGATAATTGTGCAGAAAAAGGGCAGAAATTCATGGCCTTGGGGGGCAGTTGAATTGAGAGCCCTGGTTTATGATGGATGTGTCATTTGTGCTCTGTGCGTCACTTTCAGCAATGCCCTTAGCTCCTGTCTCATGTTCCTTGTCCCCCCTGAGCATGCATTCTTTAGCTTTCCTCCCACACAGCAAGCCCTGCTTGTTCATGTTTCTGCTATAGGCAACGGCGTGTGTGCACGTATGTGCACACTTAGCTCCAGTTGATTTTGAGCTTCATGTGCTGATTATCCTTGCAGGCGCCTCTTCTGGGTATGATGAAGGCTTTTGTTCAGCAAGACAGAGATGTGAGTCTGCTCTGCACAGGACTGTGTGAGGTATAAAGTAGCAAACTTACACATGAAACTAACCTCCTTCAGCCAGCTGCAACGAAATTCGAGAAATGTATTCAAAATTTATTATGGTCAGGGAGATAGCTGTGAAAATACAAGAAAAAGAGAGATGGACCAGATGGACAGAGAGAGAGGAAGGACAGGAAGGAGGGAGAAAAGGAGGGAAGGAAGGAGGGAGGAAAGGAAGTGGGAAGGAAAGGAAAGAGAGAGAGAGAGAGAGAGAGAGATTTTGTAAGCCTAATGTCCTCAGGAAAACATCCAAAGAAGGAATGAATGGTATGTTTAGCACTACATGTTGTACCAGTATGTGTATAACTTGGTCAGCTGTAAACGTTGTGAGCTTCTGCAGTGTGGTGACTGTGTTATTCATTTACATTTAGTTTGCAGATGATAATAATTATCCAGCTATTCCTGTACCTTCACAATAGGTATCTTCTTGTACATATCTGCTGCTAGCTTCCCAAGCTAACTTTTTAAATCTTTTTCTTCTTTTGACTCTTACTTAAAAAAAAAAAAAAAATCACAAAGTAAATCAATAAATATTTCCTACTTACATTCTGCTTCGCAGGAAGCAGCAAACATTTTTGATCGCTGTTTTCAATAGAAATGCAATATTGATGAAAACCAAATTACATACAGTGGCTTTCTCTGTTTTCCTTTTAGACCCAGTATTGATGACTGGGGACAAAAAGAATTCAAAGTCCTTTGTTGGATACTGGAGGCAGCGAGCTCACATTGTCTGGGCTATTGTGTTTGCCTTTAGACAACAGTAGTGAGATGAAATACAGCTCCAATGTGGATGAATTCATGCTGGCTTAGCTGTCTAGGAAACATTAATGTTCTCTGAAAGGACTGGAATCTTCTGATCTTCTTTTCACCATGGACTGTACATGCAGTTATCTATTTAGGACTAAGCACACTTCAAGCACTTCCCAAGACTTCACTCTGTTCAGCCTTTTATACATAAGTGCATTTCAGACTTTTCAGGCTTATTTCTATACCTAACTCATCTTGAAGATATAATATAATATACCATTACTGTAAGCTCTTGTACCTGCACTGTACACATCTGAAGACGACAGAAACACAATTATTGCTAAACGTAACCCATTTCTTTTTAGAGGCTATTGCATATCACACACACACACACAGAGTTTTTCTATGCTTCCTTTGCTTCTTTGATCAAATCATTAGGCGGGGCTGCTTATAGAAAAAAAAAAAAAAAAAAAAAAAAGTAATGACATGGCAGAATTTCAGAAGGACTACAGGTGTGATTACACTTAGAGATATGGATCTTATCAGCTTAAGTGTAATGCTCTAGTGATCCAACTTCCTAGCTGTCTTGCTCCAACATTCTGCCTCTTGCAGTCCACAAACTGAGTATTTCAAAAGACAGGGACAGAGGTTTTTAACTTGGAATTGGAACCACGCAGCTCTCCAAGCTGTCTGTCAGAACACACTGCCTTTCATTGACTTGCCCTGCATTGTAACACAGGAGAACAGTCTGGAACATTGTTACTGTTTGCAATACAGTAAGAAATACAGAAATACAGAATGCAATACAGAAAGAATGGGGTGAAGTGGCAAGACACAAGATTTCCAAACTGAAGATCAGATGGGAATTATCTCACACAGACTTCTGGAAAGATTTTAATTTCCCCTTGCAAACTGGAGTCAATTTGTGTGTGTGTGTGTGTGTGTGTGTGTGTGTTTGTTTTGTTTTTGTTTTGTTTGTTTGTTTTTTGAATGGTCGCTGGGCATATTTCACTAACAAATTCTATGCCTGTGTGAGAAAGCACTGAGCACAAGTATATATATATATATATATATATTCATGGCAAATGTTTAGGTTTGCATTTCTAGAACCAAAGGTCTGCTACGGGGGGAGATAAACTGCATGGGTAGCTGGAAAATTTGGGTAACACTGACACACAGATTTAACTACGTAAGGACTCTGAGGCAAATTGTATTGAAATATGGCTACTTTTAAGCTGAGTCAAATCTCTAAGAGAGAGCATTATCTGAAATGTAAGCAGTTTTATTTCAGTTTAGCTGAAAGGTTTTTAGAAGTGAAAGCAGCAAAGTAAAATTTATGCTTTTTCCATTCTAAATGATAGTGTCTGTACAGGATGAAGCACAGAGAGTAAAAGGTTCAAATTTATCTCATATTTTTAATTAATCCAGATTGATTTTCTTGAATGTTTAAGTTTAGACAAGTCCTGGGAACCCAACTAGGGCACTGGCCATGCTTGAAGAGGGACATAAAAGTCCACGAATGACACATGAACATCTCATGTAGACCAAGAAGGATAACACGTTAACCAGAGCTCCATCTGCTTGTATAAAGCTATGACTGATTTTTCTAGAGCTTATTCTGCAAATTTCTCTGCTGATCAGTATTTTCAGATAAATCTTATTTTCTTTTCCCAATTTCACAAGGCAACGGTATAGAACTCATCAAGCTACAAATCAATTTCTGAATAGCAGCTCTTTAAAATTTAAGCACATCTGTTAGTATGGATAGTACACCTAAGTTTATTTTAAGGAAACTGTTCACTGTTTCCCAAATCATATTCACATAGGATCCTTTCACACACAGACAGCAAATTAAGTGGGGTATGCTGGCCTGCAACAAGAATAGAAAGAAAACACACTCCTGGTCCATTTGCTGGGCCTTTTATTTCTCTCTCACTATCATTACTGCAACCAGGCAGTGAGACAGCAAGGCAATAGCTAGTAATCTCTGTCAAGTCCGCTCAGTCTACGCTACTGACTGAAGTTTGTCATTACTTATTTCTTCAGATCGCCTGCCAGGATGCTTTGGGTGGAGAGGGAGAGCAACGTGCACTTCTCTTCCGACTTTTAATTGATCTGATTCCAGCATTTATCTCCTTGTAGCTCCAGGGTTGTCCGGGACTTCAGGTACTGCCAGTGAGTGGTGTGAGCAACCAGTGTGTGTGTTACTATTGGTGATTGTATTTATGACTTACTGAGAGGTGTAGAAGCTACTGCTGTAACTATATAGTTAGATTGTATGGAGAACTCATGCCTGGAAAATACACAGAGGGCCATCCTTGTGAGTAACTAAACAGGAGCAGGAAGTAAGTAAGGCGTGTTTCACAGACCTCAGTATTTCACAAGTACAACCACCAAATCACCTCCTGTATTCATACCTGTATTCTCCACTTAGCTTGTAGCACCAAGTGCTTCTCAACAGGAGGGAGACGATTAGGGAAGTAAAATGTCTGTAAGACAAAAGTAAGAAATTCTGTGTGGAGTATAATTACATTTCTCTCCAAATCAGTTCTAGTTAGCTGAAAATGGAATTTTATTCCTTAATCAAGGTAAAATATCATTTGTATATCCCTTCCCAGATACATCATAAGTATTCTAGTGTTAGAGCTGTATGCTGTAGTATTGACTTAGATAAATTGTAACTATTTTTATTTTTAAGTAAAAATTCTTATTACAGTAAAGCAAGAACCCACTTAGTAGGTCCAAGTGCATTGGCTACCATGTTGCAGTTGTGTTAACTTTCTCTGTTCAGCTTTTCTAAAAAAATTGTAGCATCTTAAATGATATAAACAGTAATTGTTGCATATATCAAGGATGCTGTACAGTGGTACATTTTTGTGTGATCTGATTCACATTCTGCATTGGATGGATATCAGGTACAGTACCCATGATGTTATTAAATACACTTCTGCTGTCCCTAAAATTGTATACCCATGTATGCACACTGCATCATTACCTTTTCATTTCATTTCATGCCCACAGCAACAATGTTAGTTGCTTGGCAACATTTGTGAGAGAAAAACAAAAAAATGTCCTATTTTTAAAGCACATCCTTACAGAGATGCAACAAGATAGGATGCTGGAACAATTTTGAGCAAGTACTGACCGAAACTTTGTGCTTTAAATGTCATATTTAAAACATAAGACGGTGATTTTCTTATTGTTTATCACACTTTGGTAGCATGAAAGTAGCTGATACACAAATCAGCCAATCAGAAATGGATGTCTTTTAATATGCTGATGTTTCTATTTCTGCTTCAAAATCTAATGATCAAAATAGCTGAATAAAATGGAATAATCTTGGAGCATAATCAGTGTATGAGGAAATGAGCAGCTGTTGGTGAGGTCTGCCCCACATCCCATGAGATCAGCCCTGCATCCCATTTATTTATTGATTGCATTTTTTTTCCAAGAAAAGAACTACATTTCATTTGAAACCTAAGATCTGCACATACATAAGACAGGATCTGGCTCTTCTGTTTGAAAGTATGTCCCACTGCTGTTCATCTTCCTCTTTTTTTTTTTTTTTTCTTCTTTTTTTCTTTTCCTTTTTGAGATTTCCCTTACTTTTCTGGAGCACGTGGTATGACCCAAGCTGTTAGGCTCTGAGCACACATACAAACCACCACAGGACACACTAAGTGTTGTGCTTCGTACCCTCTATTCAGCAGTAACCGTCTCTGGGTTGTTATGAAGTAACTGCTGTCCTTCCAGTTTACAACCTAGCAGATGAAAAGCTGATGTGTGCTGGCACAAAAAGAAACTTTTTCCACATAATGGTTTATGCCATGGGCGTTGCTTGATTTAGTTTTAGCCTCTGGTTAGCTCTTTTAGGGCAGTTAATCTCTTTCACAGTAGTTGCTTAAAATGTCATCTTTCTGGCTTATTATTTTACCTATCTATCTACTGCCTGTCTAGACACATCTGGGTAATGTTAGAATAATTCACAACACTTTGTCTCAGCATCTTGGCTGGTTGAAGCAGAAGTATTTTAAGTTAATTTCTAAGACTTTCATACCAAGTTTTGGTATACACTACTCCTATTGCAATTTGAGGGGGAGACAACATTGGGACTTTTGTGGGTCCTTTTGATTTGGAACAGAGATTAACTGGCATCAGGTTTGAGAATCCTCAGCATAACCCTGGGCACAGGACTCCAGCTCTTGCTTATGCAGGGATAATCAGTCACTCTGGGAGTTCTTTTGTGGTCACAGCCTTAGCACACTGGCGCTAGGAGCTCAGAATTGCCCTCTGCAGGCTGTTCCTTACACAGTGTTATTTATTCAGTTAATCTCTGGGTTTCTGGCATGTTTCTTCATATCAGTCTCCCCCTCTGCTCATATAAACACAAGAGCACACCCTTTCCAAGAAACTCTCTGCCACTCCAGTTGTTACACAGCTGTAGTTTTGAGTGAATTATGTGCTTAACCCTCTTACAGAAATTGCAAATGTAGGACAGTGGCTGAACTTGCCAGTTCCAGGAAGGAGCAACTCTACCTCCAACTTTTCTAACAGACTGAAAATTACAAATTGCTGCAGAACACTCTCTGCTGTTCCTCTTCACTGACAATGGATTGCTCAGTTCTCCCAGTTTCTTCACAAAAGTTTCTCACTTATTAAGTCACCCTCTCTTCCTCTTTCCTTAGCACCAGTACTTAAGCTTGCATTCTCACCCACATCTGCTGTACTGTCTGCGCATAACAATTCACAAGGATGTGACAGTTAATCTATAAATGCCACTAAGGAAAATAGCACATTTCTTCTAAAGGAGGTAAGTATCTGAGTGCCCAGATGAAAGTTATGTAGTTTTCAAGAGTTGTTTAAGATCAGAGTGAAAATGGAGGGGAAGAGGACAAGGGAGGAGGGCTATCTTTGTCTAATTTGCAGGCTGTGTGCAAAATTATACATCTATCTTGAAGGACAGCATCCCCTTATTAGCACAATAATATGGCTGGCTAAAATAATTTTCCCATTTAAATCCCATTTTAGGGCACGCCCCAAATTGTATCTGGTAATGAGCTGTATGAAAGAACAGCTAAAAGAACAGTTTGAGTGCCTATCTAAAACATGATAATTAACAGAAACACAGAAGGGAGTGTACTGAGTGAAAAGCTGCTTTGCAGGAAATTGGTTTTTCTTTTCCTATGGAGTAAATGCAAAAGTACACATGGATAAAAGAGAGAGACAAAATGAAAGAAAAAAAAAAGTTTGTGATTTTTTTTTTTTTTTTTTTCAGTTTTGCTGAAATGATATAAACTACTGTTTTTTTCTCGTCCACAGTTGAGGAAAAACAGAGAAAAAAAAAAAGCATAAAGCAAAGACTAGGAAAACACAAAGACTGAAAGCTATGCTGACTTGAAGACCACATCTGAAGTACATATAATTCAAAAAAAAAAAAAAAAAAAGGTCCTTTTTGTTTCAAACATTTTACATCTTGGTCAAGGACTGGCTACACTGAGAATCAATGAATTCCCTACCTTTTCTTATTTGCAGCAGGGCCTCCAGTTGGAAGGAAATGCTGTGAGAGGAAAATGCATCAGCAAATTTATTTATTTATTAACATTAGAAGAGGTTTGAATGCAATTTTTAAAAATACTCCCTGAGGTAGGTACTCACCTTCCTATTTCTGTTACATGGCATTTATTTTCTGCCACCGTACTATCTAAATACAGACTCCAACTAAAGTAGCATACTGTCCATCCTATCCCAGCTGGTCTCGCATTTGCTCAGGAAAACACTACAGCTAATGTGCTCACCAAGCTGGTTGCTGGCAAGCAAGTTTAAAAAACAAACAAACAAACAAACAAATGAACAAACAAACAAACAAACAAACAAAAAATTCTTTAATTCATTCGGGCACTCAGAATTCCATGGTGGCTGAAGTCTTCTCCCCTGTGGGTCAGGGGGGCACAGCAGCCAATTATATTTTGTAATGTGGTGATCATCTCATCTTCAGTATTTCAAGCAAGGAACCCCACAGTAGAAACAGTTAAAATATGAAAGAACCAAATTTCTGGAAGATATAAATCACCCTTGTGATATATGGAGTAATAATTTGTGTCAAGAAGATGGTTGATATTAATAAAGAAGGGGAGACATGGGAGTGTGGCCGTGGGGGTCGACAAGCCCCATGGTTGGTGATAACATCAGACTCTTAACGATGAGGCCATCAGGAGTGTAAAGAGTTTAGAGGGAACCAAGAAGGGTGATTCAGGAGACACCATGCAGTCTCAGGTTGCTTGTTCTCCAGCCATTAAGGCATGGAAGTTGCTGGGGGGTTGCTGTTGCTGGTCAAAATTGTTTGACCAATGACAAGTTGTTTGAAAAGGACTACTGTGGGGTGAAGGGTATATAAGAGGGGAACCTGTCCTCAAGATGGAAAGGCAACAGGATACAACAAAGTTATGTCACCAATAAAGAAGTAGGAAGAAGGAATGAATAGGACGGGCTAGCAGAATGGGGACCAGGACAGAAACAGGGACACTGATTGCCTCATGAAGATAGGTTTGGCCAAACTCAGCAAACTGCTCAAAGAAGGTTGTACAGAAAGTCGCTGGGAAGAAGCTCAAGCTGAAAGAAGTGGAGCCGCGCACACAATTGCCCCTTGGTGGTCAGCAGTTGCGAGTTATGGGGAATCGTACATCCTTAGGAACAAAGACTGTCCTGGTAACCTTACAGCTTATTCTTCTTATTAACAATCAGACAGTTTATGATCCTGTAACATGGGACCAAACTGAGGTCAAGGTGTGGGACTCTTCAACTAAAAATGACAAGGTTGTAGTGGGATTGTTCTGCACCTGGTGAGCAATCTCTGAGGCCTTAAAGAGCCTTGTGGGACCACAGTCAGAAATGTGTGGTTTGCCAGACAGCAAGGAAGCTGCAGGCTCGTTTACAGATCCGACTACTACACCATCGGCCCCTCTGCTGCTACAGCCATCGCAGGCCTTTGCTGTTACTCCCCCTGGTAACCTGGGCGTGCCTTTTGACCCAGGGCCTATTGGCCTTGAAAAGGAGATGGAAATGTTTTCCTTTGATCCGGGAAGAATAGGATACATAAGGCCCGAAGAACGAGTTGCTTAACAACTTAAAGTGAGACATTGTTCCCATGACTAGCCCTGGAATTCCCAGCTGTGTGTAATCAAGAAAAGGAATGGAAAACGGAGATTGTTATATGCTCTCAGAAAAAATAATGAAGTCATGGAAGATATGGGAGCACTTCAACCAGGATTACCAACTCCAACTACGCTCCCCCAGTCATGGATATTAATAGTAATAGACTTAAAGCATTGTTTGTTAAACGCTTGCCAGAATTCGGAAAACTTTGCCATGTTTATGTTTCAATTGATACCTTTTCTGATTGTACACATGTATAGGTGTACTCGGGTTTAATATGTAAAAGCAGTGAGTGCTCTGTATATTTAGAAAGTTCGATGTTAGTGTGTGCGTGTTGGTAGAGCATAGACTCCCTGCACACCCAGCGCAATTTAGTTGCTTTTTATAAATAATACTAAATTCAGACTGAGTTGTATCTTCATTTATAACACCCTTAAGCTGCCTGAAAGAGGAACGCTGTCAGCCTGATGGTATTTATAGGGGGCTTCCATCTCATGCTTTTCACATCCTACAAAAACGAGCGGACACGAAGACGTCGTTTTAACCCCCAACTCTTAATTTTAGCATGCTTAAGGTAGTACTTCAAGCTTTGAAGCATTTGGGTGGAAAAAAAAAAAAAGGTGACCAGCGCCCCCCCTCGCCACCAGCGGGCGGGCCGGCGGACGCCATTTGCTTCAGGGCACGGGCGCCGGCTTCAGGCGCGGCGGCAGCACCATGGCAACGGCGGCCATCTTAGGCGCGGGCAAGCGGCTTCCCGCGCAGCGTCCATGACGGGTGAGGGCGAAATGGCCGCCGGAAGGGAAGGGAAAGGAAAGGAAGGGGAAGGAGGGGGGGCGGCTGCTCGGCCCCGCCTGGGGTCGCGGTGGCGGCTTCCTGCGGGCCGGAGGGAGGTGGAGGAGGCCTTTGGGGGCCGGGGCCGGGCCTCGGGGCCGGGCTGTGTGAGGGAGATCCGGGACAGGAGCGGTGAGGGGGAGCGGGAGGGGCGGCGGCGGGTCGGTGGGGGGGGGGGGGGGGGGGGGGGGGGGGGGGGGGAGGGCGGCCCCGGGGGTGGTGACAGAAACAAAAAGGTTATGGAGGGTGCTCGAATTAACTTCGGGGGTCGAGGAGAAGTTGTGAGGGGATGGGCGTGATGGGGTCGGGCCGAGCTGAGCGTTAGGCGGGGTGGGGAGGGTTGGTTTCGGCAGGTGACTGCTAAAAACAGTTAAATGGAAGTTATTTTTGTTCATTTCTTAATCTTGAGATGCATTTCGTGTTTATGTTTCGAGACAGGTCACAGGAATGCTGTATGAGATATGTGACATTTCAGCAGCTCGTTTAGAACACAGCCCCCATTCTGGATATGGTGGAAGCTGTTTGTCATGCTAAAATGTTTGTTGAACAATAAGCTATGACAAAGCAGTCAGCATACCAGCTTTATCTTAAAAATACAATAACCTTGTTACTTTTAGTAGAACTTCTCAAGGAAAGCAAGTACATGAGAACTGGCTGGTTTAGTTTGTTCTACAAAAAAAAAATAGTTGTTCTGTAAATGCTACTATAGAATAACATGGAACAATGCAGATCTGCACGTTGTGCAGTTCATTTACTTCTGGGTTTCATTTAGTTTAGAGGTAGGGAGATCTGTGGATTAAAAGGGCACAAGGCCTGTGAATGTTGGAAAGAATGCTGCTTATGTCTAATGAAGACTCTAATAAAAGTTTTGTTTTCCAGCATTAACCACTATTATTTGTTTGGAAACCCTTCAAGGAAACAATTGTTTCATTGCTAAATAACATCTTAGGAAAATGCAAGAAATACCGTTTAAATATGAGGGAAGAAAATGCTTTAACAGTGTGGGTTGTCAAGTACTGGATCAGGTTGCACAGGGTGACTGTAGAATCTGGAGATACCAGAAACTGAACCGGACAAGGCCCTTGGCAGCCTGCTGTAGCTGACCCTGATTTATTCAAGACCACTGAACAGATGATCTCCAGAAGTGCCTTACAGTCTCGGCTACTCTGATTTTCTAACCAGCAGTTCTGAACTTTTAAAATTGCATTAATTTGGTCATAACTCCACTCCAGATGTGCCTGTCTCTCTGCTAAAATGTAGGAAAACTCTCCAAATGGGTCTTTGCAAGTCTTTACTTGGAATTGCTGCTCAGTTCAGTAGTATTCGTAGGATCATTTTGCAAACTTAGGGCTCATCATCTTTGAGGTGTTGCTGCTGTGGACTCTAATGGAATGAATGTTGATGTAACAACAGTTTGGTTGGTGTGAAGTGAACAGATGCCATGTACGCACAGTCTTAGGAAGTCTCAGACATACATGGCAGCCTGCTGAATCCTAACCCAAATTGCTTTTAATAAAAGAGCAAGAGAAAAAGAGACTGAATCTGCATTAAGTTTTCTTTCTGAAGAGCATGATAAAATAAAGTGCCTCTGCTGGAACATCATAGATCAGTGGTAATAATGATGGATATTTCTTTCCATCATATTGCTGTTCACTGTGCTAACCCCAGTGGTGTCTTTTAAGATTTTTGATCAGTATTTGCCCAAACCTTCTGAGTTACACAATATGTACTGTGTTGGGCATCTTGTTAACCATGATGGGTCGGTACATAGAAACCCCTAAATGGTGCTGGTTATGTCGGTGTGTTGGCTGTTTTTTAATGGTGTTCTATAACAGGCAGAATTTGGAGAAGAGGGGACCTTGTATATCTGAGTCACCATGTCTGGAATTGGCAATAAAAGGGCAGCTGGGGACCCTGGCCCTTCTGCACCTCCAGAAAAGAAGGCTGGGGTTGAAGACTCGGGAACCACAGTGGAGACCATCAAACTCGGAGGTGTTTCTTCAACGGTATGTCTTTCTTGTATGTTGCCACTCAACCTCTTGTTGTTTATTTTTGTTTGTTTGATTGTTTTGGTTTTTTTTTTTTGATCTGGGAACAAAAACATCTCTCTTCCTTGCTGATGAGCCTGGTCTAGTGATCTGGCTTTTGTGGAATGTGCCACTGACTTGCACTTCTGCACAGGAGGAGATGGATATTCGGACCCTGCAGACCAAGAATCGGAAACTAGCAGAGATGCTTGACCAGCGGCAGGCCATTGAGGATGAGCTGCGGGAGCACATAGAGAAGCTGGAGCGTCGGCAGGCCACTGATGATGCCTCTCTGCTGATCATCAATCGCTACTGGAATCAGGTTAGCAACATGCTTGGTTAATACTGCTTTCTTGCACTTTATTCTATTCCCCTGTTCTCCATTAATTCACATCCGTACTTTGTCGTGTCTTGCCTGTTTTATTCAGTTTGATGAAAACATCCGCATCATCCTAAAACGCTTTGACCTGGACCAAGGTCTTGGAGATCTCCTGTCTGAAAGAAAAGCACTGGTGGTACCAGAACCTGAACCAGACTCAGACAGTAATCAGGAGCGTAAAGATGAGAGAGAGCGAGGTGAGGCACCTGGCTGGAAACAGTGGAAAAAATGTTTTTCAGCTGTGGACAATGTTGGTTTCCCTTTCTAAAGGCTGTCACTGGCTTTCTGATTATGAAGACTAGCATTATTATTCTGCCAGAGCATTTACTTTTTGCATCTCTTTCTGTTCCTAGGTGAAGGACTGGAGCCAGCATTCTCCTTCCTAGCCACCCTAGCCAGCAGCACTAGTGAGGAGATAGAGTCTCAGCTGCAGGAGCGTGTAGAGTCCTCCCGGCGTGCTGTTGCCCAAATTGTCACAATGTATGACAAGCTGCAGGAAAAAGTGGATGTGCTGTCCCACAAGCTGAATAGTGGAGGTATGACCCAGGGGGCTGATACTCAAGGAGTATCATTTGCCTCCAGCATGGGCATGATACTGCATTGTAAGCGTTAAGAATGACTAGGTTGTAATCTCGTTTAGTTTCCAAAATAAGCTTGCCTAGCTTTCCAAACTCCTAATAATCAAAACCTCCAAGTTCTGCATGTTAGAAGCGTATGATAATTGCCTCTAACTTTGAATGCTGAGAGCTCTGCCCAGTGTTGGGCTAAGGAGAGGTTTGTTACTGGCTGCAGTGTGCTTCTGTACCATGAGAGGTTACGGATTGCCATTGAACCTTATCACCCAGTTATTCCTGGCCACCAAGTTAAAGGTTTCAAGTAAGGAATTCAAACAAGTATTTCAAACTCATGCTGAGCTTGCAGCTGAGTAAAAGGCTTAGGAATAACTGACTCTGTTTCCTCTGGGTTTTGAGCCAAATGGTACCCATCCAATGTCTTTTGGACACAAAGCAGAGATTTGCAGAGGAAACCTAAATGACTAGCATCTGAAAACTAGTGTAGAAGATTCACTTTACACTCAGATGAATATTTGAAAAACTTGGCTTAAGGTTAGAATTCTAGTCTTTTAGAGATGTGAATGCAAATTTACATGGAAGTACCAAGTCATCTTTGTTTTCCCTAGTTTCTGGAGTGTTTAAATGGTCTGATTAAAGAGCTCTGCAAATCTAGCATTGGTGTGCTAGAGTATTACTATCCGCAGTTGGCAGTCTCAGACACTGTTGCAGTAGTGCCAGTGCTATCATGTGAGCCTGGACTCAGTTGTTATAATTTGTCATTTGGTATATTAGCTTAAACCACCTGTTGAAGGAGGTTTGCACATGAATTTGAGCTGCAGTAAGGTGTCAGTGGGATACAAGGACATGTTCTGTATTGCTGATGCTGACACGATTGGAATGATTTCTGGCATTAGGAGATAGTAACTGACAGTCGGGAATGTGTGGTACGTTAAACTGCAAAACCTTTTGCTTAGTGAGTGCTCTGTGTGGATGGAGATCAGACTTCAGGAACCACCTGCTGGAAGGATGCAGTAAGCTCAAGTTAACAGTAGAAACTTTTTTTTTTCCCCTTTCTCTACTGTTTAAGAATTAAAAACAGCCTTCATTGATTTCTGTTCATTTCCTTTTCTTGTGCCTCCCTCAGATATTACGCTGATGGAAGAAGCAGTCCTGGAGCTTAATTCCTACCTGTCACATGAAAATGGACGACTGCAAGAGCTGGCTGATCTTCTTCAGGAAAAACATCGAATCATGTCTCAGGAGGTATAAAAAGGAGAGAGAAAATTTGTTTTGGGTTCTGTGCTTGATTATTTCCTACTTAGAATAATTTGTGGTAAAAATTATTTGGAAGACAGGTTATTGCTCTGGAGAGGGGCAGGAGTAATGGAATTTGAAAGACAAGTTCTGAACAAAGGTTACGGAATAGGTTGCTGTATGTACGTTTTTCTGTGATTCAGATTCATTTGCTTTTTACACTGCTGAAGGAACGAGAATAACTGGATCAGTGAATTGAGTGGTTGTGACTTTGGAAAGCAAAGCAGAGGAAATAGCAAGGTGATGTTAAGATGACTGCGTAAATATCTGAGATGAGACACTTGACTGGATTTCCCTGTCATTTTCATCTTGTTGGTTTCTTTGGGTCATGTATGAAAGTGTAAAAGCCTTAATTACAAGATCAACACAGTCATTAATTAAGGGATTAGTTAAGGGATTCAGATTATTGGCAGTATTTGCTTCAGAGGCATCAGTTCCTTTAATATCCATTTTTTGTTAACCATGGCCTTGTTCAGTGTTTATCCAAAGGCACTTTAGTGGTTTGTAGAGTAGCTGACCGTAAGGATTTAAAAGATTTAAAAAAAAAACAGTGCCTTTGAATAAAGTGAGTGGCTGCTTATACACTCTGCCAGATATACCCAACTTCTTGCCCTTTTTCCATTATCAGTTTTGTCTTATTTTCATTACTGTTTTAGGTACTGTTTTTTTGTCTTTTTTTTTATTATTACTGTTTTTAGCCAGTGTAAAATTTGGATAGTTCAAAATTTGGATACTGAGACTAATCTGTCTCAGTAGCAAAAGGCAATAGCAAAAGGTGCAAAGGACATGAATTCAGGCTATGATATATTCATACATCAAAACAGAAGAAAAATAAGTATTTAGCACTCTGAAAAACTGTTGATTCTATTTAATATTGCTATCCAAATTACTCTTTTGATTGCAGTTCTCCAAGCTGCAAGAGAGAGTGGAGACAGCAGAGTCTCGTGTGTCTGTTCTGGAGACTATGATTGATGACCTTCAATGGAATATTGACAAGATCCGTAAGAGAGAGCAGCGTCTTAACCGGCACTTAGCAGATGTTCTTGAACGGGTAAGCACTATCGTCTTTACCAGGAATCTAGATAAATGGGTGTGGTTTTGAGCTGCACATCATCTTCCAAGGGTACCTTGCTATGAGAAATTAGAATCTGTACTATACCATCTTTGATTCTGAATATGCTGTAGCAGCGTATTCTTGGGGTTTAATGGAGTGTATATGAAACCTGTTGCCTTTTTTGCAGGTAAATTCCAAAGGCTACAAGGTGTATGGAGCTGGGAGTAGTCTCTACGGGGGCACAATCACCATTAATGCCCGCAAGGTAATCTCAAGGACTTGGTCATGTACAGAGGGAAGGATAAAGTCATGAACAGATTGTATATAGGATCTTAGGTTGGAACAGAATTTAAACACCTTCTTTAATACAAATCTCCTGGGTGACCTTGGGAAACCATTTTGTTTGTATCTAAGTTTCCTGCTGTGAAACAGACCTGAGGGAAATAGACTCTGTCTCAGTTGGTGTTATCAGCCCATTACTTTTGATTAATTTTTGATTGTCACTTAATTAGTACCATCAGTAAATATATTAATGGCAGAACTTAAAAGCATTTTATCCCCAACAGTTTGAGGAGATGAATGCAGAACTGGAAGAGAATAAAGAGCTTGCTGGGAACCGCCTCAATGAGTTGGAGGAACTGCGCCAGGATCTTGCAGAAGTAACAACACAGAATGAAAAACTTAAGGTGTGATATCTGTACCTGTGTAATGTTGGAGGTGTTCTCTGTGGTCAGGTCCTGTCTGTTGTGCTGTACCATGTCTCTGGGAATCCTTATTTGTAGTCTTCTATTCTGTGCTTCCTTTTCACATCCTGGGATGCGTGAAAAACATGTTGAGGGATTCTGTGCCTCTACTCCACTATTGTGATCACCATTTGGAGAACTACATCCAGCTCTGGGGCCCCCAGCATCTGAAAGGCAGGAAGGAACCTGTAAGAGTGGGTCCAGAGGAGGGCCAAGAAAATGACCAGAGTGCTAGAATACCTCTCCTATAAAAAAATGCTGAGGTGGCTGGGGTTGTTTAGGGCTGGAGAAGAGAAGTTTTTGAGTAGACCATATTACTATCATAGAATATCCCAAGTTTGAAGGGACCCTTAAGGATCTTCAATTTCAACTCCTGGCACCACACAGGTTTACCCAAAAGTTTAGACCATGTGACTAAGCGCACAGTCCAATCACTTCTTAAATTCAGACAGGCTTGGTGCAGTGACTGCGTCCCTGGGGAGCCTGTTCGGGTGTGCAACCACCCTCTTGGTGAAGAACCTCTTCCTAATGTCCAGCCTAAACTTCCCCTGCCTCAGCTGAACACCGTTCCCACGGGTCCTATCACTGGTGATTACAGAGAATAGATCACCTGCCTCTCCACTCCCCCTCGCGAGGAAGTTGTAGACTACAATGAGGTTCCCCCTCAGCCTCCTCTTCTCTAGGCTGAACAGGCCCAGTGCCCTCAGCCGCTCCTCATGTGTCTTCTCCTGTAGGCCCTTCACCATCTTCATCGCCCTCATCTGGACACTCTCCAACAGTTTAATGTCCTTCTTGTACTGTGGTGCCCAGAACTGCACACGATATTCGAGGTGAGGCCAGACCAGTGCAGAGTAGAGCAGGACAGTCACCTCCCTTGACAGCAATGCCGTGCTTGATGCATCCCAGGGTACGGTTGGCCCTCCTGGCTAGGACACACTGCTGGCTCATATTCAGCTTGCTGTCAACCACAACCTCCAGATCCCTCTCTGCGGGGCTGCTCTCCAGCATCTTGTCGCCCAGTCTGTACGTATAGCCAGGGATGCCCCATCCCAGGTGCAGGACCCGGCACTTGCTGTTGTTAAACTTCATGCAGTTGGTGATTGCCCAGCTCTCCAATCTGCCCAGGTCTCTCTGCAAGGCCTTTCCACCCTCATCTGAGTCCACAACTCCTCCAAGTTTGGTGTCATCAGCAAATTTGCTCAAATCACCTTCTAGTCCTACATCCAAATCATTTATAAAAACACTGAAGAGGACTGGCTCTAAAATGGAGCCTTGAGGGACCCCACTAGTGACTATCTGCCAACCAGATGTGGCCCCATTTACCACAACCCTTTGAGCCCTGCCCATTAGCCAATTGCTCACCCATCGTGTGATGTTTTTGTTTAGCTGTGTGCTGGACATTTTGTCCAGTAGGATCCTATGGGAAACAGTGTCAAAAGCCTTGCTGAAGTCCAAAAAGATCACATCAGGTGGTTTCCCTTGGTCGACTAGGTGGGTGATCTTATAAAAGGAAATCATGCTAGTTAGGCAGGACCTATCCCTTATAAACCCATGTTGGCTGGTACCAATGACTGCCTTGTCCCCCACGAATCGTGTCAGAATCGTGTCAGCAGTGTGGTGATCCCAGCTGATGTCTGTCAAGTTGAGATCCCCCATAAGGACAAGGGGAGTTGATATTGCAGCATTTCAGTACCCAAAAGGAGCTTACAAAAAAGGTGGAGAAATACTTCTTACTAGTAGTAACAGGACAAGGGGAAGTGGATTTAAACTGAAAGAGGGCAAATTTAGATTGTATGTAAGGAAGAATTTTTTATGACTGGAACAGGTTGCCCAGATAAATTGTAAATGTCCCATCGCTGGAAGTGTTTAAAGTCACATAGGGCAGGGCTTTCAGGAGCCTGATCTAGTGAAAGAAAGTTTTTTCTATGGCAGTGATATTGAACTAAATGATCTTTAAGGGTTCTTTCCAACCCAAACTATTCTGTGATTTAGGTGGGTTGTGTGCTGGACTTGTGCACATTTGTGCGACTTAAGCTTACATTTCAATGCATTGGTGACACCATGTGGTCATCAGTGGAAATTATACTAGTTTCTTATTTCCATTCTTCATTCTGATGCATTTCTTTGGTATAGTTTAATGACGTCTGGTTATTTAATTCCACATCTCTGGATTGACCCCTTTCACTTTCCTTCCACCCCACGTGAGTAGAACTAGGGAACTTGTATAGGAGAGTCTAGACTCTTAGAAGAATAGATGAACTTAAATCTTTTCCACATGTTAGAGTGGTTAGAGAGGAAATAGCGTATGAATTTCTTATCTTAGTGGTAGTGACACAAAAAGTGGTGAATCTGTAGTAGATAAAATTCACTTAATTCTACATATCATATACTTGACATAGCTTGTTGCAACGATCACCAGAGCTAATTAGTCAGGTTTCAGAGATGAGTTTGCAAAAGCTGTCTTGAGGCACACATAAATCATATTTATTCACATGAGTTTGCTTTGAGACCATTTGGTATACAACTCTTTTGTATCACTCATTTGCTAATTTTTCTATAGTAAAATTCATATGCTATGCTTTCTTCCCTTGGCTTTCTGTCATTATATCTCTTTTTCTTAGAAAGTTAACAACGCCTATTTGCACCTAGTTTCTCGAGTGCCCAGCTATACTTCTTGGTGTTTCTGTGTTGATTGGTTTAGGTGATTATGGTTTTATAGTAAAACAGTTTAAAATCAGTTTAAAAGTTTACTTGCATTTCCCAAATTTTAATCTTTGAGGTAAACTGTTGCAAAACCTAAAAAGGAAAAAATATGTAAGAGAAACAGTGTAGCATATATGAGTAGAGAGCAAATACAGACCTTTTTTTTTTTTAGCTGATACTTAAGCATATGGATCTGCTTCACAGCAATGCTGTTAAAGTTCTGCTTTTTAAGATACTTGCGCTGTTGCCACTGTCAAGTTGCTTGTGGCAGCTTAATTCATTGTTATTCTACCTTGCAAAATGGATGCCGAAGACAGGGAGGTGATGTCATTTTCTCTGGCATCTTCTTGTGTCCTGACCAGGTTGAGCTGCGACGAGCAGTGGAGGAGGCGGTGAAGGAGACTCCAGAATACCGCTGCATGCAGTCCCAATTTTCTGTTTTGTATAATGAGAGTCTCCAGCTGAAGGCACATCTTGATGAGGCCCGCACTCTGCTTCATGGCACCCGCACCACACACCAGCGCCAGGTGGAACTAATTGAGGTAACACCTGTGCTCTGTCAGACTGGGGAACATTATGAGCCCATCAGCTATCACTGCTGATTTTGGTGGCTCTGAAGATGTTTGGGAAATTTCTTACTGGTGATGATTTATCAGTTCTTGTACCTTCTACTGATGAGTTGAGAGATACTCCAGGGTCACTGCACCAAGTTCTGTCCATTTCTTATTCCACAGAGGGATGAGGTCAGCCTTCACAAGAAGCTGCGCACAGAAGTGATTCAGCTAGAGGACACTCTAGCACAAGTCCGCAAAGAGTATGAGATGTTGAGGATTGAGTTTGAACAGACACTTGCTGCCAATGAACAAGCAGGTATGGAACTTTTCTGCTACCTTAAAAAAAAAAAAATTAGAAGGCTGCGTTGCAGCACAACACTTCAATGTCATTCCTTTTCCACTATTAAATACTTGTTCTGTCAGGTTTCAAAAACAAATCTCTTTTCATGTTTCAGGGCAGGCCACTTCCTTGGAGGTGTTGCAAAATACTGCATTTTGCTAATAATTCAGGTTATGACAGAGCATTTTGCATTGTTAAAAAATTATTTTGGGGAGGATTAATTTGCAAATCTGGGATAACAGCCTAGCCAGAACACTGGTAATGCTCAAATTCTATCCAAAAGAAAGAAATAAGCTGTTCTTCAAGTAGCCTTTAAATTACAGAGATTTCTTATAGCATGACTGCTGTGAGTTAATATTCAGCCAGTTCCCAAGCAGAAGATGGCAGTCTCCTTCTTTTTCACTTGTTCATTGCTAAGCCTGATGTTACATAGCTTAGAGTATCTCTTTGGTTTGTTTGGTCTCCTTGGTTGTGCCCCCTCTCACCTTCTTGGGCACCTCTTTTCTGCTCACTGTGGAGGCAGAGTGAGAAACAGAGAAGACCTTGACGCAGCAAGCACTATTGAGCAATAACCAAAACATCAGTGTGTTACCAGCATTGTTTTGGTCCTAAATCTAAAAACAGAAGCAAGTGAGCTGCTATGAAGAAAACTAGCTCCATCCCAGTCAGACCCAGTACAATTATATTTTTTCCCCCACATTCCATAAGGGAAGAATAATATTAAAGGAAAACCAGGGCTGGGAATTTGCAAGGACTTATGGTAGCTTGTAAAGCTAGTCTGATTTTTTTTTTTCCTCTAAATGCTCTGTTGTGTGGTATAATTATTATTACCTTATTTTGATCCCTTGTCACCATCATTAAGCTTGTTCTCCATCTCTATGAAAGTCTTAACAGAAGATCAGCAAAAGTGTGTTGTTACAGTTGTGTGTCTCTGATTTCATAGGTCCAATTAATCGAGAGATGCGTCATCTCATCAGCAGCCTCCAAAATCACAACCACCAGCTGAAGGGAGAGGTGTTGAGATACAAGCGCAAACTGAGAGAGGCCCAGTCTGACTTGAGCAAGGTACTGGAGTGGGAAGTGGCAGAGGGGAGCAGGGAATGCTTAGTGGAATGGTGAATACTGTCAGTCCTCTGTAGAATAACAGAGTATTTTGGGTTGGAAGGGACCTTAAAGATCATCTAGTTCCAATCCCCCTGCTGTGGGCAGGGATGCCACCCACCAGACCAGATTGCCCAGAGCCCCATCCAACCTGGTGTTGAACACTTCCAGGGATGGGGCATCCACAGTTTCTCTGGGCAACCTGTTCCAGTGCCTCACCACCCTCTGAGTTAAGAATGTCGTGCTTAGATCTAATCCAAATCTACCATCTTTTGGTTTAAAGCCATGACTCCTTGTCCTATCACTGCACACCCTGACACAGTGTCCCTCCCTAGCTTTTTTGTAGGCCCCCTTTAGGTACTGGAAGGGTGCTCCTCTGGACTTGTTCTAATACTTCCATGTTGTTCTGGTGCTGGGGGCCCCAGAGCTGAATGCAGCACTTCAGGTGGGGTCTCACGAGAGCAGAGCAGAAGGGGAGAATAACCTTCCTTGACCTGCTTGCTGTCCACGCTACTTTTGGTGCAGCCCAGGACGTGGTTGGCTTTCTGGGCTGCAAGCACACATTGTTGGCTCATGTTGAGCTTCTCATCCACCAGCAACCCCAGGGCCTTCTTCTCAGGGCTGCTCTCAATCCATTCTCTACCCAGCCTGTATGTGTGCTTGGGATTGTCCCAGCCCAGATGCAGGACCTTTCACATGGCCGTGTTGAACCTCATGAGATTCACACAGGCCCGCCTCTCAGGCCTGTCAGATCCCTCTGGATGGCATCCCTTCCCTCCAGCGTGTCGACCACACCACATGGCTTGGTGTCACTGGCAAACTTGCTGATGCACAGTGCACTCCATTCCACGTTCCATGTCACCCAGAAAGATACTAAACAGCACCAATCCCAATACTGACCTCAGAGGAGCACCACTGGTCCCTGATCTCCACTTCAGTGTTGAGCAATGGACACTTGGACAACGCTGACTGCAACGTTCTGAGTGCAACCAGCCAGCCAGCTCCTTACCCTCCAAGTGGTCCATCCACCAAACCCATGTCTCTCCAATTTAGAGACAAGGATATCGTGGGGGACAGTGTCAAATGCTTTGCACAAGTCCAGGTAGATGATGTCCATTGCTCTTCCCCTATCTACCAGTCCTGTAAACCCACCAGATTTGTTTAGCACAATCTGTCCTTTGTGAAGCCATGTTGGCTGTCACTAATCACTTCCTTACTTGTAATATCACATTCTTGCTTTTAATATCAGCCTTTCTATTACAGCATGCAGTATGTGTGTAGTGTAATTTCTGATGGAGATCCACAGTCTCCTGCTTTCCACTTAGACAAATTAATTGTCCTCCTTTTGTAGTTATATAGTGCTCTGTGAAAAGTATTAGCAATTTCAGAAAAAGCACACAAGCTGATATCTGGGAAAATGAGGGGAGAGGGATAAGGTTCCTTCAGGAACAGGTTCTTCACTGAGAGGGTGGTCGGGCACTGGAGCAGGATCCCCAGGGCAGTGGTCACGGCACCAGGCACGCCGGAGTTCAAGAAGCATTTTGACATCACTCAGACACAGGGTCTGATTTTTGGGCTGTTCTTTGGGGGTTGCAGGAGATTGACTCGATAATCCTCGTGGGTCTCTTCTAACTTAGATATTCTGTGATTTGGTGATAACTGTGATACAGGTTTCTGGCTAAATACTTAATGGTTAATTTCCTTCTGTGTCTTATCTTGTTCTGTTGCATGACAGATCCGCTCTCGCAGTGGCAGTACTATCTTACAGTCCCAGTCCAGCACTGAAGACACAAAGGAGGAGCCTCCAGAGATCAAACAGGAGCCAGATGATCCTTCTGCCCAAGTACCTGTGCCCAAGGCTGCTTCTGAAGATGCTAGTGAAGTTAAGGCCAGGCGAGATGAAGAGGAACGGGAGCGGGAAAGACGTGAGAGGGAGAGGGAACGAGAGAAGGAAAAGGAGAAAGAGAGGGAGCGAGAGAAAGAGAAAGAAAAGGAAAAGGAGCGGGAGCGGGAAAAACAGAAGCAGAAGGAATCTGAGAAGGAAAGAGAGTCCAAAGAGAAGGAGAAAGGGAAACATGAAGATGGAAGAAAGAAGGAGGCTGAAGTGATCAAGCAGCTGAAGGCAGAGCTCAAGTAAGAGTTGCTGATCCTTTCTTTCATGTGTGAGTTGAGCTAGCTTGAGTGATTGCATGAGACAACTTGCATCTCTTAAGAGATTGACTACTGACATGAGAGGTTTCTAGCACCCTCTCTGTCTGATAATGGTTTGGACAACATAGTAACACTTCTACAATAGCCTAAACCATGAATACCAGATCGGGTACTTCTTAATGTGGGTCAGGTAATCTTTGCTGCTGTCATTACAACTGTGTAAAGCTTTACAGCAGCAGATTATTAGTGGAGGGCACAGTGGTCTTCCCTGTCTTAGATAGTACCAAAGCAGAGATGGGTAGCTGTTGCTATCTGTGTTCCATTGGGTACGTACTTCTGTCACCCTCTGCCTTCCCTAAGTTTTTCAACCCATATGTGCCTGAACCTGTTTCTTCTCAGTCTCCGTCTTGTACTCCTTGACTATTTTGCTTTTACCAGAGTGAGAAGAGCCAGAGAGAACTCTGTATATGTGCAGTGTGGGAGGTGGAGCAAATGCTGGTCTGACTCTCATGCTAGTTATACAGCAACGTAGCTTTTCTGCCAAGTACTCACAGTTGTCTTTCTATGTTTCCAGGAAGGCCCAGGAGAGCCAGAAGGAGATGAAGCTGTTGTTAGATATGTACCGCTCTGCCCCCAAAGAACAGAGAGACAAAGTGCAGCTGATGGCAGCTGAGAAGAAAGCAAAAGCTGAGGTAAACTTCACTTCTCTTCCCTCTTCTATGTTTGCATACTACTTAAAATTCCAAGCACTCTGCACCTGCGCTATGGTGCTTTTGTCTTCAGGCTGGAGGTGGTTTCTATTCCTGCGTTTGTTACTTACAAGAGAGATTGGAATAGTCTGGAGATGAAAAGAGAGATTACAGGATGCCCTTTTGTGGGATAATATTTTCATCATCAGTGTTAAAGGTAGTGGTTCTTTGAAAGCTGTGTTTAGCTCTCTATTGCTGTAACATGTAGGTTGTTAGCTTTACATCATTAACAAGATTTAGAAAGACCTGGAGACAAGGAGGGATAGGCAGCCAATTAGACAAAAACTGAACTATGCTTTTAGGAATATCTTGACAGTGTGGTCTCAGATTTCTCAGTGGATGTGGTAAAGAACCATCACCTGATGTATTTAAAACGAGGCTTGAATAATGATTTGAGAATTAAAATTTTAAAATGTTGCATCTGAGTGAATGTGCAGAAGATTCACTGAAGAGTTACGCTGTGATATTAAGTGATGTTATGAGCATGGCTGCCTTCTCCAGCCCCTCTGGTTCAGGACTTCCTCCTGTCCAGTCACTGGAGCTCATCCTGGGACTCAGGATCTCTGCCCAGGCTGGGGGGTGTGGCTGCTACTTTCTTTTTTTGTGGGTTCAACAGTAGTGACGCTGAGCACATATCCCAGAGATGTATGCAGAGGATACAGGACACTGACACAGCCTATCGGACAGATTGTCACTGAGAAGCCATTGCCTTCAACAGCACCTACACATAGGACTCAAATAAAAAAACCAGACACGAATAGCTGAGTCTGTCTCCTCTTCTTCCACTGGTAGAGATGAAAGTTCACTATTGAACCTGGATGTGTGCATGCATGCCTTCACAAGTGTGTACAGATTTGCAGATCCCTCAAAACCACCCAGTACCTCTGACTGTGTCCTGGGGCCCATACCCAACTCACAAACCAGTTTATCAGTAGCTGACACCTGGTCCCCACAGCACACGTATATGTGTGTGAGGTTACACGGAGGTGGTTAAGAAAATATTTGCAAGGAAAGTTTAAGTAGAGAAGCCAGACTGCCATGATAAGGCAGATGACCATACTGACCAGCTGTATTTCACCTGCAACCAGATCCTTTTGTACCCTCTTTCTGTCTGTAAACCTCTTGGTTGATCCTTGCTCCCCCTTCCCAGTGCACATCCTTTCATGGGTTTGCAGAACTCTACTGATTTCTTTAATCCCTCCTATTTTGGAGTCCCCTCTGGTTTAGTCTGTTCGTTTGCAAAGCCCAGGTTGATCTTCCTGGAAGTGACACCTGTAGTTTGTTTACAGCCCAACAGTTAGTGTGACTGACAGTTTGTTTCTTGTTATTGTCTCCATGTCTGTTTTGTCAGGTCTGCACCTCTGCATGTTTTGTTTCTGGTTTCTCCCCTACTTTTTTTTTTTTTTCTCCCTCCTTGGTGCCTTAGTTGACAAGATCCTCAGCCAGATAACCTTCCTGGGATAAACACACTTACATTCTCACATCAGTAAGGAACCACACCTGGTCAGTCACACTATTGCTGCCTCCTATGTTTTGTCAGTCAGGTTATGTCTTTGTATGTTTTGTGTATGGCTTCTTCCTTTTTAATTATCCCTTTTTTGCACTGAAACCAATGCCTGACCAGATGCCTTGAAGGAGCAGGTATTCTTCTGCTTAGCCTTGTATATACAACTGCAAGAGATAACTGATGTACTCTGATAAGAGGTGCTATGGAATTTTCAAAAGTTTTGTAATTAAGATTTCAGTTTTTCAGCAGCTTTGAATAATTGTGGGGAAAACCAGCTCTTAACAATGTTCAGGCCACATTCTTGTGTTCAGTGTCGTTTCTGTCTTGTCTGTCTTCTAGCTGGAAGAACTAAGACAAAGGGTAAAAGAATTGGAAGACAAGGAGAAAAAGGAGAGTAAAAAGATGGCTGATGAGGATGCCCTCCGGAAGATCCGAGCAGTAGAGGAACAGATTGAGTATTTACAGAAGAAACTCGCCATGGCTAAACAGGTGAGAAATTTCCGATGAGTTCTGTCACAGTTTGATTGTATTGGAAGTAGGTGCCTTCAGTTTACAGACAGGAAGATTACCTGAGGGAATGAATTTCTGTTTCTGTGTATTCATTCCAGTGATGTGCAAGTTCTGTCCCTGTTTATTGAAGTGAAAAAGAAACAAAAAATCCCAACACCAGCTGTCACAAAGCTCATGTCAGGTGTGGTAGGGAAACTTAGCTGTCCATGTGGCTTAGGTGAAGTGTCTGGGTCACCCTCTGCAGGAGGAAGTTGTAATTTCTTTTTAGAAGTATTTTTATTGGCACAGTTCATACAATTAATGCAAGTGCATGATGCTGTGACATACCTTCCCTTTAAGTTGTCGTCCACAAAAAAAGGCTTAATATAATGTTAACAGGGTGAGACCCATTGAGCAGGGGAGAGGCAAGCCAATGATTTGATGTGTACTCTTCTAGAATTTATTTTTTTCTTATTGTACAGAATTGTACTGTCTTGTCATTCACTCCATTTATGTTGAAGCAGCCTAAGTTGAGTATAAAGGCCTTGTCAGCATTTTATCTGGAAACTGTTGAGTTGTCCATATATAGTTTTATTGGCCTAGTTTATATGGCAGCTATTTAGCTAGCTACCAGAAGCTAAGAGGTGGCCTGTGCCACGTCTGATTTTTTTTTTTTTTTCTTCCCCAGCAGATACAAGCTAGAGTTTGTGAATTCCTGTCAAGATGAGTTGTTGTTTTTTTGTTGTTTGTTTGTTTTTTGTATGCCTTCTAGTTCAGGGCATCTCTGCTGTGATGCAGACTTCTAGGGTGTACTTTTGTCTGGTTGCTGGGAAGATACCATCAGTCTTCTTTGGTCTGTGCTAGTTTTGGTGTCTCTGAGTACAATTTTCAGGGTAACCATTGGGGTACAGGAAACAGTTCTGCCAGAGCCTGTAATCTTCTTGCAGGAGGAGGAGGCTCTGCTGTCAGAAATGGATGTCACAGGCCAAGCCTTTGAAGACATGCAGGAGCAGAATATCCGCCTGATGCAGCAGCTGCGGGAGAAGGATGATGCCAACTTCAAGCTCATGTCAGAGCGCATCAAGTCCAACCAGATCCACAAGCTGCTGAAAGAGGAGAAAGAGGAGCTGGCAGACCAAGTTTTAACACTGAAGACACAGGTAACCTGGGAGAAGTAGAGAGGACACACAAACTCACAGGAAGGTGGAGGTGTTGTTTGTTAGCCATGGTAGACAGCCAAGCCACACACAACTGCTTACCCCACCAACCCCCTGTGGCATGAGAGAGAGAAGGGTAAAAGTGAGAAGTCCCATGGGTTGGGATGAAGACAGTTTACCAAGTAAAACAAAACCTGCGTGTAAAAGTGAAGCAAAATAAAGAATTCATTCACTACTTCCTATTGGTCACGCATAATGGTTGCCTAGGAAGACAAACACCATAACTCTGAACATACGCCCCTGGTCCTCCTTCTTTCCCCAGCTTTTATGGCTGAGCAAGATGTGATGTATTATGGAATACCTCTTTACCCAGCTCAGGTCAGTTGTCCCAGTTGTGTCCCTTCCCAAATTCTTGTGCAACCCCAGCCTACACGCTGGTGAGCAACAGAAGTCTTGATGCTGTTTCAGCACTGTTCAGCAGCAACTAAAACAGAAGTGTGTTGTCAATGCTGCTTTGGTCACAAATTTGAGACATAGTGTCATGCAACTTGCTATAGAAACAATTAACTCTATCTCAGCCAAAACAAGTACAGGAAGGAATGTTTCCCCTAATCATCCTAGATACACCATATCAGACTTTGAAGGGGTCTGTCCTAGTAAGGAACTGCTGTATGAGTATAAACTCATACAGGTTCATTGCTATGAACAGCAAGATGAAGGAGAAAACGGGATCACAGAATCATAGAACAGTTTGGGTTGGAAATCACTACCTAATCTAAATCTACCATCTTTTGATTTAAAGCCATTACCCCTTGTCCTATCACTATACTGCCTGACAAGGAGTCCCTTCCCATCTTCCCTGTAGCCTTCTCTCCTCCAGGCTGAACAACCCCAGCTCCCTCAGCTGGTCTTCACAGGAGAGGTGCTCCAGCCCTCTGATCATCCTCAGGGCCCCCTGGACTCACTCTAATATGTCCATGTCCTTCTTGTGCTGGGGGCCCCAGAGCTGAACACAGTAGTTATTTTCCTATGTTAACAGTTCTACATATAAATTCTTCCATCTCTGAAGACCTGCAGAGCATGCATTTCAGCCCTTTTGTATCTTCTCTCTCTCTTCCTAAGGTTGATGCCCAGCTGCAAGTTGTACGTAAACTGGAGGAGAAGGAACACTTACTGCAAAGCAGTATTGGAACAGGGGAGAAAGAGCTAGGTCTCCGAACACAAGCCCTGGAAATGAACAAACGCAAGGTGAGCAGTTGCTTGATTTCCTCTCAGATTATAAGATGGAGTGGTCTTGAGGGAAGCATAGAAAGCTCCTGTCTTTCGTTGGTATTATGGTACCTGATATTCCCTCCTTTTGGGCTAGTATACCAGAATGCTGAGGAGCTCTAAAAAGAGTTCTAATTGTGTGGTAGGCTGATGTTTCCTTTGGTAAAGATGAGCAAGGTGTAGTTGTTTCTGTGATAGGTTTCCTGTAAAAAGCACCTTAGCTCAGGTTATCGTGAAAGAGAGAACAGCCAGATTAACTGGCATTGTGTAAAGTTTTCATAGGAAATATGAGAAAAATGAAAGAAAATTATGGTTGGGGAACGTTAAGACATCTGTTAAATGTGTAAGCTCATAAAACAAAGTAGGCCTGTAGAGTGGAATAAAACTGAGTGTCATGGCTGATCCTGCCATTGTTATTGAGTCCTTAGTAGAAATACAGGAATGACAGACAGAAAGGAAGGCAGGAACAGCACTTTGAAGAGGAGATGGGGGAATTCCATGCAAACGCTTGTGCATAATACCATGTTCTGAAGTACTAAGAGAACTTGGCTAATAGATTTACTAGTGCAGGGACAGTTAGAGAACACTAAGAAACTGGTGAAGAGAGAAAACAGTTTAAAAACAAACAAAAATGCAACAGAATTCATCTTGCAGTTCTCTCTAGTTTAGCTTTAGGCCTGCCTATAAATTTAGTTGAGAAAGTGTAGGAGTTGAGGGCTGAAAACACTTGAGTGAGAACAGGATTGTGGGAGCATTAATGCTTTTCTAATAGAGTTGCATTACAGTGTAATAGGGCTTATCTTTAACAAAGAGGAGCGTTCAAATTAAATGATTAGAGCTTGTTGACAATAAGATAATTTGTTGTTCTTGTAAAGTTTAGGGAATAAATTTAGTTCTTCCATTTGAAAATACCATAATCAGATTGAAAAAAGTAAATTTCCCACAGCCCTGGAAGTATTCTGTGGGCAGTCTTGAATTGTCAGGTGGAGGGACTAGAAGTCACTAGAACTTTTTCCGTGTCTGTTACTTCTATAATGGTTTACTTTTTCAGGCCATGGATGCAGCCCAGCTTGCAGATGACCTGAAAACCCAGCTAGAGGTGGCTCAGAAGAAGCTGCATGACTTCCAGGATGAGATAGTGGAAAACAGAGTAACTAGAGAGAAAGAGATGTTCAACTTCAAAAGGGCTGAGGTATACAGTTTGTGCACAATCCTTCCATATCTGTCTCCTTTGGTGTCTGTCTCCTTTTGCATTGAACTCAGAGCAGATTACAACTACGTGAGTTTCCTTACTGTTTCCTAGCTAAAACTTTTTTGTTGTTGTCCATTCACTTGGATTTCAGCTTGATCTATTGAAATAGCCTCTTGGCTGTTTAGGTTTTGATATTATTGACAATACGAGTGGCACCAGCTGATGATGTCATCTTTCGTAAGTCTTCTGGTCTATCAGCAATAAAAGTACAGGTAGAGTGGCTTACCTAGGTGTGCTGTTGGGCAGGTGCTACCTCTGTTTCTTCCTTGGATTAGTTGTGACAGAAGACACTGCTCACTTATTTACCGTCTTGTTTTCATACAGGAAGACATTTCTAGGTTACGCAGGAAGCTGGAGACCACTAAGAAGCCTGACATGGTTCCCAACTGTGATGAGATACTGATGGAAGAAATCAAGGATTACAAGGTGCGTAGCTGTCTCCCTCTTCCCTCTTAACTCTGCTTTAACCAAAAGGCTGTGTAGTCATGCTTTCAGTATATGACATTATTTGTTTAGACTCTGGCACTGTAGACCTACTTTGCATAGAATAAAGCACCCTTTCCATATGAGGAGTGGAAAGACCCTCATCTTTAGTCACATTTTAATGTATCTAGTGCAATGCAATGAGCCCTCTCTATAATGATCCTGTCTTGCAGGCCCGCTTGACCTGCCCGTGCTGTAACATGCGCAAAAAGGATGCTGTCCTCACGAAGTGTTTTCACGTCTTCTGCTTTGAGTGTGTGAAAACACGCTATGACACCCGGCAGCGTAAGTGCCCCAAGTGCAACGCCGCCTTCGGAGCCAATGACTTCCACAGGATCTACATCGGTTGATTCTTCCCACTGGAGTTGCAGGACATTGCTGTTTGTGGTGACCACCCAGCCTCCCTCACTTTCTCTTACTGTTACCTGTGGGGCAGTCGGTGCTTCTGTCTGTTCATCTACAGGCTCTTCTGGGCAGCGTGATTAGGGAATGGAAAGAAATAGATTGCGGATTTTGGTTCCTTTCTTGTCGATATTCTTTTATTCTCGTCTTCATTATTTGTGTTTTTTTGTTTTTGTTGCCCCAGAGGATGTTTTCCATGTATCAGTTGCACACTGTCAAGTTGGAAAATTTCTAAGTGAAGTCCTGGGTTGGTGGAATGAGAGCTGTCTGTGTTCCTACAGACAGAAATGAGGCCTTTACAGAATCACAGAATTTCTAGGTTGGAAGAGACCTCCAAGATCACCCAGTCCAGACCCAATGCTGACAAGTCCTCCACTAACCATATCCCTGAGCTCTACATCTAAACGTCTTTTAAAGACCTCCAGGGATGGTGACTCCACCACTTCCCTGGGCAGCCTGTTCCCATGTCTAACAACCGTTTCGGTAAAGAAATTCTTCCTGACATCCAACCTAAAACTCCCCTGGCGCAACTTTAGCCCATTCCCCCTCGTCCTGTCACCAGGCACGTGGGAGAACAGACCAACCCCCACCTCGCTGCAGCCTCCTTTAAGGTATCTGTAGAGAGCAATAAGGTTGCCCCTGAGCCTCCTCTTCTCCAGGCTGAACAAGCCCAGCTCCCTCAGCCGCTCCTCGTAGGACTTGTTCTCCAGGCCCCTCACCAGCTTCGTCGCCCTTCTCTGGACTTGCTCAAGCACCTCCATGTCCTTCTTGTAGCGAGGGGCCCAAAACTGAACACAGTACTTGAGGTGCGGCCTCACCAGAGCCGAGTACAGGGGGCGATCACTTCCCTAGCCCTGCTGGTCACACTGTTTCTGATACAAGCCAGGATGCCGTTGGCCTTCTTGGCCACCTGAGCACACTGCTGGCTCATATTCAGCCGACTGTCCACCATCACTCCCAGGTCCTTCTCTGCCTGGCAGCTTTCCAACCACTCCTCTGCTGGCCTGTAGCTCTGCTTGAGGTTGTTGCAGCCCAGGTGCAGGACCCGGCACATCCAGATCATTGATGAAGATATTAAAGAGAACCGGCCCCAGCACCGAGCCCTGGGGAACGCCACTAGTGACCAGCCTCCAACTGGATTTGACTCCATTTACCACGACTCTTTGGGCCTGGCTATCCAGCCAGTTTCTAACCCAATGAAGCGTGCGCCAGTCCAAGCCAAGAGCAGCCAGTTTCTTGAGGAGAATGCTGTGGGAGACGGTGTCGAAAGCCTTGCTTAAATCAAGGCAGACCACATCCACAGCCTTTCCCTCATCCACCCAGCGTGTCACTTTGTCATAGAAGGAGATCAGGTTCGTCAAGCAGGACCTGCCTTTCATAAACCCATCTTGACTGGGCCTGATCACCTGCTTGCCCTGCAAGTGCTGCATGATGACTCTCAAGAGAATCTGCTCCATGAGCTTCCCTGGTACTGAGGTCAAACTGACAGGCCTGTAGTTCCCCAGGTCTGCCCTCCGGCCCTTCTTGTAGATGGGCATCACGTTTGCTAGCCGCCAGTCAACTGGGACCTCCCCCGATAGCCAGGACTGTTGATAAATGATGGAAAGCGGCTTGGACAGCTCCTCTGCCGGTTCTCAATATCCTCGGATCCCATCTGGCCCCATCGATTTGCGCACATCCAAGTGCTGCAGCAGGTCGCCAACCATTTCCTCATGGGTAGCAAGGGCCACGTCCTGCTCCCCATCCCCTTCCACTGGCTCAGGGTGCTGGGTATCCAGAGAGCAACTGGTTTTGCCACTAAAGACTGAGGAAAAGAAGGCATTAAGCACCTCAGCCTTTTCCTCATCTCTCCTCACAAAGTTTCCCCCTGCATCCAGTAAAGTGTGGAGACTCTCTTTAGTATTCTTTTTTGTGTTAATGTATTTATAAAAACATTTTCTGTTGTCTTTAACAGCAGTAGCCAGATTGAGCTCAAGATGAGCTTTGGCCTTTCTAATTTTGTCCCTACGCATCCTTACAACATCCTGACAATCCTCCCGAGTGGCCTGCTCTCTTTTCCAAAGATCATACACCCCCTAAGCTCTACCCCCAACTCTCTCAGCCAGGCTGGTCTTCCACGCCAGCTCGTCTTTGGGCACGTGGGGACAGACAGCTCCCGAGCCATTAAGATTTCCTTCTTGAGGAGTGCCCAGCCTTCCTGGACTCCTCTGCCCTTCAGAACTGCCTCCCAATGGTCTCTGCCAACTAGTGCTCTGTACAACTCAGTCTGCCCTCCTTTATTTCAGGAATTTGCTCTGGTTGTCAAAGTATTAAATCCCATAGAAGTATGGGAGCATTACTGGGTGTGAATAGGAAGCTATTCCCAATGAAAGGCCAAACAAGCAATGAACTGGTACGTTTGTAGAGCTCAGTGGAGTGACTCTTTAGGCATGTATCTTCCTGAGTCAGGCCAAGAATCTGTGAAGACTGGTGCATTAGTAAACGTCCTCCGTCCCCAAAAGCATATGCACATCTTTATATTCACAAGGGGAGAAAGAAGCTGTTGGTAAGTCTTTGAAAATAGCATTCCGCTGATGACCCTGTTTGATGTGAACATCTTCTCCTAGGCTGAGACATTGCTGTCATTGTCCTTAGGTTCCAGAAAATACTTTGTAGGGGTATACTTTTGGTGCAGTTTTGCCACAAAGATTAATCTTGTAATGCACACGCTATAATAAAAGTTGTGGTCTGGATTATTTCTATGTTTTTCTTGACTTGGTAGTATCTAGATATGCTTCTGTCTTTTGCGTGGTTATTGGAAACATATTGTCCAAAGCCTTCAGCTTGTAAAGCAGAGTGGTGAGTTTCTTCTCTCTTCAAAAATAGTTATCTGGAATAACCTTTGTCCTTTTGGCTATACATTCACAGCTTTATTCCTAACACAACAGAAGTACCAAAATGCTGGATGCATCTGTTCTGTCATTGTTGCTAGAAGTCTCGTGAAAAGACACAACATACATTGTAATCTCTTTACTCCCTGTATTGTAAGGTTATGTTTGAAATCTGCTGCTGAAAATGAAAGGTAAGTAACTTATTTATGACATTCTTTCATAAGATATGGTGTTTTTCCTGTGAACTTAATTTTCTTGGAAGTTCCTCTTGGAACTGCCAGAGGTTTGTCTCATCCATGCACCTTCACTGAATCATAAAATCTGAGTAATCTTCTTGTATTTGCTTATACCAAAACAAACAAAAACAATAGCGAAGTGAAAGTAATTAATCACACACTATCTTGTAGTATGCATTGCTATCTTTAGCTGTCCAAAAAAGTCAAAAATATGAATTAAACCCTCTGAACCATGTAAATTACTGTGAATCCTCAAAATTAAGAAGGAACACATCCCTGACTTTGCAAGGGGAAGCTGGAGTGTTGAGAGTTTGTGTTATGGCTTATATGCTGTCTTAGTGTGTTCAGAAGGAATGAAAGCAGAACCTTCACTTTCATTAGAAGTTGCTGTTTGGATTACAGTTCGTGACTTCATGTCAGAGAAAGGAGAGGATGTGTTAGGAATAATAATACTTACAGGAGATTTCGTGGTACAAATGCCTGCTCATCAGAAGCAGGACTTGGGTCACCAGCAAACATTGCCTGGATCTTTGAACAGCTTTACTGTAACAGCACACTTTTTTGCAGCTATGAAAAACCTGAATTATACAGCCTTTATAGGTGTACAAAGTCCTAAAGTCACGAAGTCACTCTGCATTTCTACTTCAAGTCAAGCTGGAAACTTCTGTGCATATACTGTCAGTGTTGGGCTTACTCTGGTCACAGTAGCAAACAAACATTTGAAGCACTCTGGATTTGTTTCACAGATGGCGTTTGGAGACACTCGTTTTCCCTTTCTTTCCCAACATAAAAATATCTTAGTATAAAATAATATTTTAGTTTAAGCTGAGTAAGACCTTGAAGATCATTGTGGACGCTATTAAACATCTTTCTGTGCTTATAGTTTAAACACTGAGAAACAGTGAATGTTTTGGTCTGTTTTGGCTTGCCTGAGTGAGTGAAAATGGTTTAAAAGTGCATCAAGGCTAAAAATAATTCTGTTGAAAAAGGAGTACAAATATTCTTTAGATAAGGTCTGTCCACATTCAGTAACTGAACCAGAGTAATCAAATGTAAATAAAGAAAAAGCCTCTCTAGCATTAACAAGGTGGGAAAGGGTGATGTGTGTGTGAGTGGAGTGGATTTGGGAGAGTGTAAAGAGTTTGCAAGAGCTCTTGATATGGTTTCTGAGGAGCATTGCCGTCAAGAAGGTGGCTATAAAGGTGACAGTTGTGTATCATGGGCAAAATAAATCAGCATAGAATGATGAACTGAAAGTATTACAATTTAAAAACAAAAAATCCCATCCAAAATAGATGGGGTCAGAAAGAAGTACAGCTGCAAAGTCTGGAAATTTTCTTTGATTTTCCTTCCTTCCACCAACCTTACACAGAATGTAAAAATGTCAGGACACATCACAGGTCACTGTGATGTGACCCTGTGTCAAGCAGGAAAACCATCATCTGTGTTCTTGCTCTATCCAGATGCCATCCATTCTTCAAATCTGTTGACGTTACTCTGCTTGTGATAATTGAAGCTCAGAAAGTGTTTGAACCAACTGCTGTCCTATAAATCTGCCTGGCTCTTCTATAACATCAAGTTAGTCCTAAGGATAGCTCTGTGTTTCCAGTCCATTGGCTGTAATCTACTTCTGCTTTCTCTTCTGTGGCCTTTGTAAATATGTGTACGGCTTTGTGGAATCCAGACAGGATGAAATCCTTGAGGCGGTCAAGTTCCTCCCTCAGTCTGAGGAGGGAGGAGTAAAACTTAAGGCACAAGACAGAACCATGTACAGACTCTTGATGTAGCCATTCCCCACCTCTCCATGTAGCCTGCAGGCATTGGTTTGTGTGCAATATTCCTCATCCTATGATGGGCAGACATCCTGAAAGCCATGGCAAACATTGTTCCCTGTGGGATCAGGCTGGGTTCTTCTCTCTCAGATGAGAGACAATAAAATAACATTGCTATGGAAAAGCAGGACTGATTGAAAAATCCTTGTTTTTCTTTGTTTTCTGGGTACTAGTCTTGGTACAGAATTGA